TGTTCTTGATTTTAAATTTCATCACTTTGCTGTTCTCTTCCGTGACGGGATCTCCCGCCGGGTAAGGATAAGGTGCGTTGTTGGCGAGGATCGCCGTTTTCGACTTTGACTTGGAGAAGTCAACGACGACGTCGACGATTTCCGACGGAGCGAGGAGAACCGATTTGGTTGACACCGGTTTCGCTAGGTAAGCCGAATCGGAACCGATGACGATGAAATCGAGGTCGTTGGAGAAGAAGAACCGGAAAAATCTGGCGTTGCTTGCGTTTATGATTCTAAACCGGTATTTTCGGCGGCGGACGGTTAGTCTCGGCCAAGCTTTTCCGTTCACGATGATCGCGTCGCCGAAATACTCCGGCTGCCATTGCGGGTGAATCGTCGGGTTGTTCCCGGTTGCGTTCATGTAAATCGAACCGTCTCTACGGAAACTCCGGTCAAACACGATCAACGGACGGTCAAATTCGGGACCGGTTGGTAACCGGAGAGGCGATTCGACGGAGCTGTGGCGGAGAATGTAAGCGCCTAACAAACCGGCGAGAAGGTTGACTCTGGTCAAACCCGCGGCGTGATCGTGGTACCACATGTTTCCGGGTTGCTGCCTGTTGACGTAATGCGACGTAGTTTTGGTCCATTTTGCTCCGGTCTCTTTGAAACCGGCGGTGAACCATGAATCGGCGTTTCCGTCGCTGGTCGGCTCGTGGATTCCGCCGTGTAAGTGGACCACCGTGGGAATTCCGCCGCGTTTGGAGATGGCAGGGGAGATTGTCGGGTCCCAAGGGAGGATGTGAGATGAAGGGAGGTGATTTCGCCACGTCACGTATGTATCAACGCCATAAACGGCTTCGATTGTAGGTCCAGGGACTGTTGCCGTACGCTTGGACACACCATATGCGAACACTGGAGTGGCAGGCAAATCTCTATGGAATTTCTGTAGATTTTTCAATTATTTAATTCTAATTAGTGACATAATTAATGTTTTGAGAATTTTCAAAGTACAAAATATTCGATTACTTAGCAGACTAATTAAGTAATTTAAAAGAAGTATGTAGAAAAGTAATCATAATTATTTAGTTAGTGGGTAGTAACTTTCTATCAAATAATCATAGATTTGAAGTTGTTCTTGGTACTATAGTTTAGCAAAAACAATTTTCTAAGAGCTTATAAAGAATGATAAAGAATTTGCCGTATTCATTCGGTAGGAGAGCAAATGAATATTAAATTTGACTAGTGATAAAAAAGAAAGAGTATTGATTCGTCGGTATGTACTATAACATTCAGATATTTTGTTTTCTCAAGAGGACAAATAAGTGAGGACAAGAGTGAAAACACAAGGCGAATCTATCTCTAACTTTGCCAACTAAGAGCCGTAGACAAGTAAAAAGCAATTATTCTCACTAATCCTCTATAGCATTTCATACTTTTAGCAAGATTAGTTTAGTCTCTTTCTTTTGGTCAGCAAAATTAATTAGTCTTTTTTTCATGCATGTACACTGAATGGTGGTTAGACTTAGATGCATATCTATCTAAATATTTTGGCCATTCATAGCCTCAAGACAGAAATGGAGATGATCTGTATTCACACGAAAGACTTTACCGTAAATCAAAATTAAATAACAATACCTAAAATAGCTTCACGAAAAAAGAGCAAGGAAGGAAAAAAAGAGGAAAAGGAAAGAATTGAAAATGAGAAAAAAATCGAAAGAAATAAAATATACCCATTTCTTGAAGAACATGCCGATTTGAAGAGATTTGGGTTTGAGGTGGCCATTGACGAAGTGGAAGCCATGGAGAGTGGGAATATGAGGAAGCCTGTCAACGAACATCTCTAGCTTCTCAAGGTTGAACAGTCGCTCCTCCGGCCTCGTCGTGTCTCCTGCGTCTCCGGCTACGAGCCATGTCATCGCTAAGATTATCAGCATCATGACTCTGGCCATCGTCTTCTGACAAAACACAAACTCCATGTGTGTTTCTCCTTCACGAGCTTTGTAAATATGTCGTGAAGAAAAGTCAGGTCTGTGTGACTGTGTGTATGTGTGTGTTTGTGTGTGGAATACTCAAAAGTTGGGGAGAGAAGTTGAAAGAAGTCCTTTGGGGTTTTGTGTATTTATGCATATTAGTGTGTGGTGTTTGAGATAACTTTATTCGTCTTTTCACATTCTTGAGTCTCAGAATTTTGTTTTGTTATGTAAAGTCCAATTAGGCCTTGGTATACATATCATATATGTGTAACGAATATATCCACAATCAAATACTTTATCTGTTTAACTTTAGGGTGCATTTAGCCAATATCCTCCAATAATCTGACAATTAAAAATTTGGAGAGATTAATAGATAATTAGTTTTTGAGGAGAGATGATTTATTGTTTACACCCAAAATATCCTTTAATTTTAATTTATTTACATGTAATGCCATTGATCTAAAACCTGTTTTCTGATGTTATATATCGGAAACACTGTTCATCAAATACAAACTGATTATACTGTTTATGGCCTGAAAACTCAAATAACTATTTAATTATCATGCTAACTAATATGATATCGAGATAACTATTCGATTACCATGTTAACTAATATGATATCGAGATAACTATCTAGTTACCATGGTAACTATTATAGTACCATGATAACTATTCGATTATCATGTTAACTAATATAAATATACCTATAATACTCATGTTAACGTCTAACATAAACATATATTTACCAATCAAAATTAGAAATTAACATGATAACAGTACTAATACTGTCATTATAAGTTAACTTTATAAGTTATTTTGATAATAACATAACCGACACTAGAATTACCGTTGCTAACAATATTGTTATCATCTGTTGTCAGAGTTACCATCGCTTTTATTTTCTTTCGCCGGAGTATTGTGTGATGAGAGAGAAAGAATACTGTAATTAGATTGAAAGTACAAGGGTAAAATGGATTTTTATTAATGACTAGTTAATGTCAGAACAACAGCTTTTTGGTCACTTAATTAATGTATTATCCAAGGCTATACATTACAATTTCCCTTAACTTTATTAGATAGAAGATAATTCAGATTTTGTTGTTTATTCAAATTTATTTGTATTTTATCTTTTAAAAACAAATTCTATCCAAAAATTAATTTTATTATAATCACAAAAAGTTCAATTTTTTTGGTCAAAGAATTTCATAAGCGACAATGTTATCAAATCTCAGTTTAACTAGTTAACGATTTTGGTTGATTTTTTTTTCTTCTTATTTTGGTCATATATAGATTATATAATTTGAATATTTTTCCCAATTTTTTTGTAACATTACTAACTCTATCAAGAAGACTTGGATGTTGACCCATATGAAGTGACAAATAAGTGAGGACAAGAGTTGAAAACACAAGGCGAATCGATACTAATTACTTTACCAACTATATAAGAGCCGTAGGCATGTAAAAAGGAATATGAGGAAGCTCGTCAACGAACATTTCCAGCTTCTCAGAGTTGAACAAACGCTCCTCATGCATCTCTGGCTACGACCCAAGTCATCGTTATGATAATTAGTAGTAACATGGCTCTGGTAATCGTCTCCCGACAAAGCACAAACCCTATGTCAATTTTTCTTCACGGGTTGTATAGATTAGGATGTTGTGAAGAAAAGTCAAGTGTAGTATGTGTGTGTCTGTGGAATACTCAAAAGTTGAGGAGCGAAGTTGAAGAAGTCCTTTGGGACCGGTTTTGTCTATTTATACATATATGTGTGGTGTGTGACTGTAAGTGAGATAACTTTATTGGTCTTTGCTTTCACACTCTTGCCGATTCTTGGATTTTTGTTTCGCATTATGTCAAAGTCCAATGAGTTTTTGGTATATATATACATCATATACTCTACAATCAAATACTTCTCAGTTTGTTTTCATAGGAGGTTTTACATTTAGAGTTGTTGTATTTGTTTTTCTTTGTTGATTTATCAAAAAAGTTCAAAAGCCACAATGTGATCATTCTCATTTCTACTAGTTAAAAGATTTTGGTTCCATTGTAGTTTTATCTAGGGGGAAGAAGGAACATGTTGATGACCGTTACTGCTTGGGCTAAATTGACGGTTCTGGAAAATTGGGCTTCAATATGTTATGGCCCATATGCTAAAGTGTCGTCGTATTGGAGCTGTGCTAATGTGTGAGTTTTCTCCGTTGTAACTATTTTGTTTTGCATTGACTAGACTACGTGTCATTTTTTCATTTAAAAACTGTTTTACCAACAAAGCTATGTATGTTTGATTTGTTTTATAATATTTTTGGATGACAAATATGGAGTTACCCGACTGCACAGCTGCAAATCTACTTCGATAGAGGAACAATTATATTTAATGGTTTCATAAAAATCTAGTTAATCGCTGTTGGATCCTCTACGTGTCTTACGTAAGGGGAGATAAAAGATGGAGTTACCGACATACGAAGAATTTTGATATATTAATTTATGTATGATGTGCCAAGGATTTCCACAAAACCAAATTCATAACACTTTCTTCTGAATTCTGACCAAAATTGTCTCCACAAAACCAACTAAACTCAAAGTGCATGTGTAGTTTTTTAAAGTGTAGATTCTGTCCGAACTAAACACTAAACTGTATTTTTATTGCCTTTAAACTCATTTTGAATATTCTCTTAGCAAACGCAAAGCATAATTGTTTACCAAAATCTTTTAAAAAAACAATTGTTTACCAAAATTCTCCAAAGATGGTTTCAAGTTCTTTGAAACTACGAGCTTCATTATATTATTCTTTGATTCAATTCTATAGATTAATGTGACTTATATATCTCTTCTGTAGACAAACAATTTTATTGGTTGATCAATAAATTTCACATCTAAAAAAGGATTGATTTTACATATTTGTATAATTTATTTAATAGATTTTACACTAGTTGCTTATTCCTCTACGGACATATACAAATACCAAAAGAAGAAAAATGAGCCAATTTACGTAATACAACGTTACATGCGGTGGATAATATAATATTTTAGTACTATTTTTTTTTTTACATAACGGTGCAAGCGTTGGGGTTATCATCGCTAAAAAGAGTCATGAGCATGTCGTCGGGCGCTCCCGGCACCGGCTGCGACTGCTCCGACTTCCTCACATAACCGGCCGGAGCTTTCTTGTCGTAAGCTCCTACTGCGTACGGATATGCAACCATATTGTATGGAACATATGGCCAAATCTCCGCCTTTTTCCCTTTCCGTTCGATTCTCTTCAAGACCTTCTTCGGTTCCACGTAACCACTCACTGTCACTTTGTGTATCTTTCTGTTCACTTCCACCGATTTCACCCCTGTGCCATTATTATATAAGATTTTATTTTAGTGAGGTTTTATGGATAAATCAAGAAATTCCAAGGAAGAGTAAAGATTAAGTAGTTACGAGCTAAAGATTCGAACCTCTCATTGAGGAAACAGCGTTCTTGACTCTGCGTTCGCAGCCGTCGCAGTCCATTTTAACCTTTATATTCACCGTCTGCCACCAAAAAAAAGAAGGTGCAAACAAAGAATTAGTCTTTTAATTGGTAGAATTTTTGTAGAACTCTTGGTGTTTTTTATTTTTATTTCTTTAGCAAAACCAAAGATTAATAGTTAATCATATTTTCGTTTTAAACACCATAGTTTTCTAAAACAAACAAAATTTAAAAAATCGAGTGAAGGAATAATGAGTGTCATGATTCTAAAAACCAAAACTAAGGTACAACAAAAGCATATTAATTATATTTGATGAAGAAGAAATAGCGTTGTAAAGAATATATACCTGCATGACTTTACGCTTCCTCATTTTACCGGAGACATGGAAGTAGTCGGAGATATAATCGGAAAGATGATCAAGAGCTCCCATCGTCTCTCACCAAGACGCAGAGAGAGCACAGATGCATATGTATCACTAATGGACTTTATTCGACCATATTTATAGAAAGTATTTGATGACTTAATGAGCAACTTGTGTGCCGAGGATTAGTACATCATTTAACTATTATTAAATGTGGCTAAAGTGTGATTAGGAAGGTGTATGTAACGAGGAGGTGGCCCTCTAATGATGTATACCTCCTAATCTCACACGGCGGACAACGAGGCCATTTTTGAGCTATTTCACACGACTCGGACAGATTTCTTTCTTAGAAAATTCTAATTTCTTTTTATATTAACAAAAAGGGTAATTATCTAATGGAGTTTGAGAGACAGGCTGTAGTTAAAAAAATCTTGAACTCTCTTTTGTGAGCATTGTCCTCAATCGATATCGGCTCCTTTTAAACAATGTCACGGGATTAGAGGTTTATCGATCCGTATCACCACCTCACAATTCACATGCGTCAAATTTAATGCATCGGTAATGGCAATTTTGGTTTTGTCAAACTTTCTCTTACGGTATGATGTCGGTATGTAACTATGTTATATGTATATATAAGCTTAGTTTTATTATTTATTGAAACAGTATAAGCTTAGTTATGGCATAATTGTCATCGTGTATTGAAAACGACACGACTCTTTTAGTTTAGTTGTTTTGTTACTTTGGATAGGTACAAGATCGGATGAATTTGATAATAGGATTTACAGATAAACTACACAATCACACATTCAATTATTTCATTTAGGTATGATACAGTAGAAGGGAATAGTAATTATATAGAAAAAATAGAAAGGAATGAAGGAATTTAAGGGCAATGATTCAATGAGAAAAATAAGGGTGTGGGGGTTCGATTTTACGAAGTAGACAACTCAATCTCTACTATTTATGTAGTCTATGGTTTGAATACAAGTTATAAGCCCCTCCACATCTTTTTGTTGTTTGGATTAACAACTCTTTTTTTGTGTGTTTTTCTTTATACTTTCCACCCTATAAACTTCGTTGGCATTTTCTTCTCTTACACCCCAATTATCGTTCTCTTAGACTTCTTTGTTCCTTTTACAAAGTTATATTTTTCTATATTTCTCTTCTAAGCTACTACTCATATAGCTTTCTTTTTCGTTTTTTCCGGGTAAGAGATAGTTTGTTTCATCCCACAAGCATACTATACAAATTTACTTGTACTAAGCTAAAATGGGAATGGTTTACCATTTTAATGTTATTCTTCGACAGATATGAAACTAACTAAATTTTTCTACTCAGGCAACAATATTTTAGGATCATAAGAGTAATATGTGTATATGGCCGTTGTCAAATTGGATATTCATGCATGTCCATATATATCCTCATATTACAAAACAAAAGCCAAGTAGACAAATTAATGTCCATTTTATAAAAACAAATTATTCAAATCATACTATATATGTCATTTGCAAATTTTTCTTTCTTGGCATTTTAATTACATTGACTTGTCATATGTCCATGAACCGTATCCAAAACATCTCATCATAAGCAGTGTTTTCTATTATATTGTCTACATCATGTACAGATGAACAACAGTTTTTCAATTTAAATCTAGATTTTAATCAACAATTGCTCTATTGATACGTGTATAGCTGCTTTACACAGTCGTCGCTCATCCTAAACCCATAGCTAACAGAGATACAAATGTCTTCTTCGTTGTCCTTGTCGTTACCACAATGACCAGTAACAAAAAGAAAAATGTTTTACTGTTCCTTTTGCAGTTGTCAACAACCCAAAGCATACTTGTTCAATAGTGTTCAAATAACGATAAGAGTTTCAATTTCTTGATTAGTATCGAGGATACGAGTGGATGGGTCATAGGTTGTAACAATTCAACAGCCCAAAAAATTCAAACAAAACGTAGTAAAAAAGAGACGAAACAAGAAACAAAACTTCAACGAGGCAGAACTTTACGCCTGCGGATCCCAAATGGGTGAGATATCTGAAGCTAAATTTCCTAAGCCATTACGGTTCAGAGTTTTACTGCACCTTGAGTTTACTACAAGTCTATGGAGTGGACGCTGTGGAAAGAATGCTGGAGGATTTGATATCTGTGCAAGACAAGAACGTATTGAGACCTCAAGAAGGAGAGACTGAGCAGAAAGAGAAGAAGCCAGTACAAGCGCGGTAGAGCCCTCTGTTGAAGATGATACTGATGCAGAAGATATGGTCGTTGGACTTATTGAGACCTCAAGAAGACCTCAAGTTATCAGTGCTTGAGGATTGAGTTTGAGATATGGCAAGATATTCAAGGAGATGGATCTTGAAGCGAGCAAGAGAGAGAAGGAGGTGGTGGAAATGAGACCGGAGGTAGAGAAGATGAAGGAGTGCCGCAATGGAGATGAGAGAGTGGCGTAGGAGAGAGAGAGCTTGAAAGAGATTAAAGATGTCAACTTTAAAAGTCGTCTTGTATGAATCGAATTAGTAAGCAAGCAATCTGTGCTAAACTATCAAATTTATGGAAAAGAGATTAAAGATGTGAACTTTAAAATCATCTTGTATGAAACGAATTATTAAGCAAGCAATCTGTGCGTAAACTATCAAATTTATGGAACACAGGGACAAATAAAAGAGAGGTCTTTTCACATTATTATAAACTCAAATTTGCCAAATTTAAAGACCTACTCAAAGGTCTGCACTACGTTCTCCACGTCGCGAGCTGCTCTTGCGTAAGGTTTTCGACCCTGAGTAAAGCTAGGGCTTTGTAAAATGCCACCAGCAGTGAAGCGCATCACCGAAACTGATAGATGAGAAAGCAACGAAAGACATTAGAAAGATCCAAACTTTCATATAGACAAAAACCTCAAAATGAAATCTAAAAGTTGCCCCATCTAGACGGTAGGAAAGGAAGTCGGTTTGAGCTTCGTACTTCTGAAACATGTTTGTGATTCTGTCATTGACTTTGTATGTACAATTTTCGAGGAAAAACGACAATTCTCTGATGCTTTACGTAGCAATTAGCAAATTGGTTCCAAAGAGAATATCAAAGGATTTCATTTGCTACCTCGTTTTTTTTCTCTTCCCATTCATTTTGTGGATCTAAACCTTTCAAATTTATTTCGTGTTTTTACTTTACCTTGTAGATATGGAACAGAGAATAAAAGGTGTGTTTTACTTTATTAATGCAAAGTTGCAAACTCTCCCTTCACAATTAATTAAGAAAGTTTGTTTTGGCAAGGCAATGATTAGTGGCTCATTCGCTCTTGGAAAACAGAGACTTAATATGTAAACATTTGGAGAGTGTGTTGAAGATAGCGAGAGAGAATGTGAAAACATTAATAGTTAAGAAAGTTTGTTTTGGCAAGGCAATTATTAGTTGTATCGTGGGAGGAAAGCAAAGTGAGGGGTGAATCTCTCGAGTCGAGGTGATAATAGTCGATATTTTAGAAAATAAGTTGTCTAGTGTGTGCCTATGAGATTGATTACCATAGGGTTTACAGATAAACTACACAATCACACATTCAATTATTTCATTTAGGTATGATACAGTAAAAGGGAATAGTAATTATATAGAAAAAAATAGAAGGGAATGTAGGAATTTAAGGGCAAATGATTCAATGAGAAAAATAAGGGTGTGGGGGTCCGATTTTACGAAGTAGACAACTCAATATCTACTACTTATGTAGTCTATTGGTTTGAATGCAAGTTATAAGCCCCTCCACATCTTTTTTGTTGTTTGCATTAATAACTCTTTTTGTGTGTGTTTCTTTATACTTTCCACCCTATAAACTTCGTTGGCATTTTCATATTCTTAGACTTCTTTGTTCCTTTTCCAAAGTTAAAATTTTCTATATTTGTCTTCAAAGCTACTCAGTACTACTCATGTAGCTTTCTTTTTCGTTTTTCCGGTTAGAGACAGTTTGTTTCTTGTCATCTTAATTACATTGACTTGTCAATGTCTTAATTCATGAACCATATCCAAAACATCTCATCCTCAGCAGTGTTTTCTATTATATTGACTACATCATCTACAGACGAACTACTGTTTTTTCAATTTAAATCGAGATTTTAATCAACAAATGCTCTATTGATACGTGTATAGCTTTACACAGTCGTCGCTCATCCTAAAACCCATAGCTAACAGAGATACAAATGTCTTGTTCTTTTCCTTGTCGTTACCACAATGACCAGTAACAAAAAGAAAAACGTTTCACTGTTCCTTTTGCAGTTGTCAACAACCCAAATCACACTTGTTCAATAGTGTTCAAACAACGATAGGTTATAACACAATTCAACAGTCCAAAAAGATTCAAACAAAATGTAACAAAGTTTCACCCAAGAAGTTGAGTCTTCCTCAGCCTATCCATCTTCACAGCCAACTCCACAACTTTCTCTTTCCGGCCATCATCAAGAAGCGCTTCTTTAAGCCGGCTAAACATATGTCCCGGTGCCTTAATCCCAACATCCAACATCTCATCAAAATACTCACAAGCCTCATCTAATCTATTCTCATCACATATGCATCCCAGGAAGCACACCTTTCCCTTTCATCTCATCCCAAACTTTCACCGCCATATCCAATCTCTCGACATAACAGAACATCCTCACCAAGATCTCGTAAGTACTCACCGTCGGCTCACAGCTCATCTTCTGATAAACCTCATAAGCTTCTTTCGTCCGCTGCATCCGAACCAAATGGTGCAAGATCACATCGTAAGTTCTTGCGTTTGGACCAACCCCATTCACCCTCATCTCTTCCACGATCTTGAACGCTTCCTCCACTCTCTTCGACCAGCAATAAGCTCCGATCAACGCATTGTAAGTCGGAGCTTCAAGCGGAAACCCGAAAAACTCGAGAGCTTGATCCAGCTTCTTCTCCGGTATAGCAAACTGAGAGTTAGTTTATTACTTTGTTCCAAATGGATTCACCAAAAGAAACATATACTAGTAAGTAGTAACTAGATCATAGTTAGTACCTACCTGGTGGTGGTGTACAATGCGAATCATAAGCATCAGGCCGATAGCATCAAAACAGTTTGAAAGAAGGGGATTGAAGTGCTCATCGATGACAGAAAATGGACCTGTACCAGGGAGAATCCAGAATTTACCAAAAAACACACAATGCTACTAACATAAAAGTGTTAAGGTCGTCGTACGTCAGTTTTATGTGGCTATTAGTCATCCGTCTTGATTACATGAATACAGTATTTTGTAGATGGGAGAGATTAATCTCTATGTAATGTCCTCTTCTTGTCCTTCTCATTTACTCGCGTACGTGGTTCTGTAAACGTGGCCTTTGTATACGTCCTTAATTAGTAGCTTAATATGCTCTTGGATTTGTTAGGGAGGATCGGTCTTGTACATTTCTTAATATATTACTTACATCAATCTATATACACTACAAGAAATCAGGTGGATAACGTCATTTCATTTGGGCCATTTACATAACTGACGTTAACTTTTTAAAAGGGAAGGATTTTAACATCAATTTCAAAACTAACGTTAAGTTTAGGGTCAATAACATTTTATTTTCACCCAATCATAATATTTCAGTCTTATAGCTAGAGCCCAATCTTGAAACCAAAACTAAAAGCCCAAATCTTAAAATTGAACAATTAAAGTTTTTCAATTTCTCGATTCTCCGATCGATCCCCTTCCTCTCCGATCACAAATTCAGCGATCTCGACTAAAATTGATCTATACGAATTCATCGATCGACAGAGATCTCTTCGATTCTAAGTTTGATTCTACATTCCGAGTCTACTTTCAAGTCACAAGAGGAGATATGCTTCATCCTGGTAAGCTTCCAATCTAAGTTTACGGTATCTCTGCTTATACAAAGACATTTTATGCTAAGAACTCTTTTAATCTAAGTTTCCTTCTCCAAATAGAGTCTAATTTTAAGGCTTGATTTTGGATTTTGGATTGAAGGAAATTGCAAATCACGCTAGAAATTTCATTTGCATCTTCCACCAGGTATAATTTCATCACTAGCTTGATTACAATTTGTATATGCGCTTATATCTGCAATTATGCTTGGCTTGAACTTTTCGTTAGAAACTTTATATATGTTCATTAGTTGCAGAATGAATCCCGAGTTTGTTCGACATGATATTTTGTATATGTTATAGACTAAACCTCAAGGATGAGTCTCTCTTTGTATCTTCATTCTCTTCATTGAGACTGATTTTGGTTAAGTGTAGTTGGTGGATCTCTCTACTTGATTATCATCTTATTACAATGATTGAATCCTGAGTTTGCGTTGTTCTTCATATGGGAGTTTTTAGGTGGATATGGATAAATCTTGCAAAAAAGTACAGAGATCTTCAAACACACAAGCATATTCAGGTACACATTTTTCTCGTGATGTAGAGAGAATCTAGCTCGTGTTTAACTCGCAACTTGCATTGCAACTGTATGTTCTAGTTTGCAGCTGCCAAAGTTCTTTTGTTATCTTAAATGGCTTTCACTTTGCTAATCGGGAGAGTTACATTCTTAGGGAAAACAAAAAGCTTACCGGAATTGGTGAGTATACAGATGTGTTAATACCCATCTTGGCATTGGTGAGTATTGTTTTCAAACTTCTCATGTTTGCAAGAGGAAGTTGTCTTCTGTGCTTCGAATTGCATTACTTGAGAACTAATCAGTTTCTTAATTGATATTCTAATATAATATCTCTCGTACACAGAGCAAAGTAGGAGGGATGATCTAGAATCTCTTGGCTATGTGCTTATGTATTTCTTCGAGGAAGGTATATTGATAAATCTGTACATTTCTATTTATTCCTTGTATCTATCGTTGTTGTCCGTAATCCATAATTTCTTTTACAGCCTACCTTGATATCATGTTAAACATAAGTTTATTTCTACAGGTGAATGAAACAGATATAAATGCAATGATTAACATTCTTAAACAAGCATTATCTAAGGTAACATTCATAAACAAACATAATGCTTAATATGTCGTCTGTGATCCTTCTGATTTCGATTTTCTTCTAAAACAGATAGAACACCAAGAGATGTAGTTATGTCTTCTGATGCCCAGACTACTTATATTATCTAAGGTATGATTGGTTTTGTTCTTTGAGAAATCATGTTTTTGATTCAGAGTATGATTAGTTGCGTAGTCTCGGAAATCTAGATCTTTGATAATCATTTGATTTAGAGGAGATAAACCTTTTAGTTCTGTTGTGTATGATTCAGAACATCAATGGTACGACTGAATATTTCTATTGTGTTGATGATAGGCAAATGACGAAACTGTTGAGGAGTATAGTTGCTGGGAAACAGAACAAGTGCTAGAAAACAGATCATAAAGAGTATATTTTGAGTGACATTATATATACAGACGGGAAGCAATGTAACTTTCATATTATAGTTTCAGCAACAATTTGTATTTGGATTACCATTTCTATGGTTTCATTAATTGGAGTTTTATATCTGATTATCATTTGGAAGTTTTGCTAATTACTGTATAATACAAATATGCAGTAATTAGCATCATATATTTTTTTTAATTAATAATGTATCTTGCGTCGGTTGTTAACTAACACAAAGTAACTGACGCAAAGATTTGGTTTAGTGTCACATGAAAACTGTTGGTAAAACATTGTTAAACTGACGCCAATCTTCTAACGTGAAAGTACACATCACTTGCTTAAGTGATGTTAAATTATTTTGCGTCATACGTTATTACGACGGTTTTACATGTAACGTTAAGTTCCTTGTATCATTTTTTTTGTGTCGTTAAAGTGAGTTTTAACCGACGTAAAGTGCCGTCTCCCTTGTAGTGATAACACCAGTCGAAAGCAAAAACAGAACCATTGATCTCAAATCCCGGTTGTTTTAGGAAAGAACTTGGAACTTTTGATCATCCTTATATGTATAGGTTAAATCGTATTCGTATCTATGCTTGTCTTTATTATCTAAAATGTTCATCGTGTATAAAAGGCGACACGACTCTTTTAATTTAGTTGTTTTGTTACTTTGGATAGGTACATTAAACCCCATAATCACCCATAGTATAAATTGGAAATTCCATAGATATCTGGAGGTGAAAGGACGTTATTTTTATTTTCCATTTTAAATCTCAAAATTCTGTTTACAGCTAAGCACATAACGTTTTCAAGCTCGGGTTTTTATTCTCTGGGCCGTTCTGTTTCTTCGATTCTCCGTCAATTAAGGTTGTGGAATGAATTGGGTATCGTCGTTGCTTGAATAGTTGAATCCATTAAATCTGTATCTGGCTGGTTAAGTTATAGAACTCGCTTTGCTTCTCATATGCTCATTGGCAGGTGTACATGCACTATCGATTTAGCTTGTTTCGTGATCATATTGCTTCTGTTTCACTAGAGTCTGCTTCTGCTTTTCATGCTCCTGATTCGAGTCCAGATCTTTGATGCAGCCGCAGGAAATGCTACAGACAATGCGTTTGTGAGATTAACAACAACAACAACAACAACACTGGTGCAGGGGATGGTACAGAGACAAGTGCTGCTTCAAAGCTTGATCAGCTATCTCGCGCTGTGCCGCTTGGCCTTGTTGAGTTCAAGAGCAGAGCGTCTACTTCTTGAGACAAATCTTTGTCAGGGCCAAGTCGGCTGCGTGACTCATAGGGCATAGGATGATACTGATGCAGAAGATAAGGTCGTTGGACTTGAGCTTATCAGTGTTTGAGAATTGAGTTTGAGATATGGGAAGATATTCAAGGAGATGGATCTTGAAGCGAGCAAGAGAGAGAGCAAGTGTTGGAAAGAATGGAGTGGATACGTGGGTTCATCTCGGAAATGAGACTTTAAAAGGATGTAAAGGATGTAAAAGAGCTTGAAAGAAAGAGATTAAAGATGTTAACTTTTATATTCGTAACCGGAAATTTGGAAGTAAATCGGAGAAGAAGCCGCCAACAAGCCTCCAAACTTACCATTATCATAATTTAAAATTAAGAGATGTTTCTCACATTATCCATAAACTTAAACATTCCCATACAAAGTGGCTATAGCTCGACTGGTAAAGGGATCCTAGGCAAAGCTTAGAGGTCATAGGATCGAGTGCCGCTTGGGACGAAACCAATATTACATGTTGTGGTTTTGGGCTTAGGGAGATGTACGGGCTTCGGTCCAAAACCTCCTAGTAATTAAAAAAAAAAAAAAAAACATTTCAAAACTAGAAAATTCAAGATGTTCACACATCAAAGCTATAAATTTTAAAATCTCTCTCACTCACAAATCAAATAAATTTTAAATTTTGGTGTTGAACAAGCCAAGCCCAACACCAAACCTGATAAAGCTACAAACTTTAGAAAGATGAAAGATGCAAAATTTCTAAAGCTACAAACTTTATAAAGCAAACTTTGTACTTCTGAAACATGTTTGTGATCAAAATCATGTTCTATTAAAAGCTATTGTTAGGTTTGGCCGTTTGGATCATAGAATCTGAAATATAACCTCCTCTTTCTATAAGTTGTCGAAGAACTGGTATGTACAATTTTCGAGGAAAAACAACACGAAACATAATTTTTCCAGGAGTTATAAGTAGACATCTTTCTGATTTTACGAAGTAGACAACTCAATATATACTAGTCTATGGTTTGAAATTTTGAATATAAGTTATAAGCCCTCCACATCTTTCTGATGTTTTGATTGATAACTCTTTTTGACGTGTGTTTCTTTTTACTTTCCACCATATAAACTTTGTTGGCATTTTCTTCTCTTACACCCTCAATTATCACATTTTTAGACTTCTTTGTTCCTTTTACAAAGTTATTTTTTTCTATATTTCTTTTCTAAGCTACTCATATATAGCTTTCTTTTTCGTTTTTCCGGTTAGGGATAGTTTGTTTCACCCCAAAATGTATATTACAAATTTACTTGTACTTAGCTAAAATGGTTTTCCATTTTAATGTTATTATTATTCTTCTTTGACAGAATGACAGTATAAGACTAACTAATTTTTTTTCTTGTCATTTTAATTACATTGACTTGTCAATGTCTTAATTCATGAACAGTATCCAAAACATCTCATCCTCACCAGTGTTTTCTATTATATTGACTACATCATCTACAAATGAAGTACTGTTCTTCAATTTAATCGAGATTTTAATCAACAAATCCTCTATTGATACGTGTATAGCTTTACAACACTCCTAAAACCCATATAGCTAACATAGATACAAATGTCTTGTTCGTTTCCTTGTCGTTACCAAAATGACCAGTAACAAAAAGAAATATGTTTTACTGTTCGTTTTGCAGCTGTCAACAACAACCAAAGCTTACTTGTTCAAATAACGATAGATTTTCGATTTCTTGATTAGTATGGAGGATAAGAGTGGATGCATCATCATAGGTTATAACAATTCAACAGTCCAAAAAAGATTCAAACAGAACGTAGCAAAAAGAGATTGAAACAAGAAACAAAAGTTTCACCCAAGAAGTTGAGTTTTCCTCAACCTATCCATCTTCACAGCCAACTCCACAACTTTATCTTTCCGGCCATCATCAAGAAGCGCTTCTTTAAGCCGACTAAACATATGTCCCGGCGCCTTAATCCCAACATCCAACATCTCATCAAAATACACACAAGCCTCATCCAATCTATTCTCATCACACAAAGCCGTAATCAAACTCGAAAACATATGCATTCCCGGAAGCACACCTCTCCCTTTCATCTCATCCCAAACTTTCACCGCCATATCCAATCTCTCCACATAACAGAACATCCTCACCAAGATCTCGTAAGTACTCACCGTCGGCTCACAGCTCATCTTCTGATAAACCTCATAAGCTTCTTTCGTCCGCTGCATCCGAACCAAATGGTGCAAGATCACATCGTAAGTTCTTGCGTTTGGACCAACCCCATTCACCCTCATCTCTTCCACGATCTTGAACGCTTCCTCCACTCTCTTCGACCAGCAATAAGCTCCGACCAACGCATTGTAAGTCGGAGCTTCAAGCGGAAACCCGGAAAGCTTCGACTTTTCAAAAAACTCAATCGCTTGATCCAGCTTCCTCTCCGAGCCAAGCCCGTTGATCAAACTGCAGTAAATGTGTGGACTTGGCTTCACATTCCTCTGTTCCATCTCGTGAAACAACCCAATCGCTTCATCATACTTCTTAGCTTTACAATGAGCATTGATGACAATACCGTAAGTGACGACATCAGGCTCAAAGCCTTCCTCTTTCATCTCTTTGTAAACCTCACCGACTCTCAAAAGATTCAGCTCTTGACCCCAACCTTCGAGTAAGATAGTGTAAGACTTTAAATCAGGATCGAATCTCTTCTTCTTCATTTTGTCGAACACCTTCTGTGCATCGGAGACGTTTCTCGATTTGCTTAAAGTGTCGAGCAATCGATTGAAGTCTGTGGATTCCATCTTGAATCCGAAATCTTCCATCTTGTGAAACGCGTGAATCGCTTCTTTGACTTTCCTCGCTCGAGCGTATCGTCTGGAGATTAGCGCGAACGTGTCTTTGCTCAGAAGCTTTTTGCGTTTCATGTCGTCTACGAGAGACCAGACGAGCTTGAATTGCTTGATTTTGCCTAACGACTCGATCAATGCGTTGTAGGTGGAAGTCGTGTGCTTGAAGTTCGTCTGATTCTCTGCCCATTTGAAGACGGAGAAAGCGAGAACTCCGGCGTTGCTCAGCTTCTTAATCACTTCTTCGATCAGTTCCGGCGAGAGTTTCACTGAAGCTCCGTCGAGCAATTTTCCGATGCTTGAATCTGTCGATTTCGATACGATCTTACAGATTCTCTCCGCGTCTTGCGAGACTCTGATTTCGTCGTTAGCAGTAGTAACAGGGGAAACTTGGGTTTCAGCAGAAAATGATTTGTAAATCGTCAAATTCGAAGCTTTTTGAATCCATGGAATCGATTCGACACGCAAGCTCTGTTCTTTTCTCCAGTAGACACGTCGAGAGAAATTTCCTCTACTGGGAAATTTTCCGGCGAATCGGAAGAAACGAGAGAAGAAGACCATTGTTGGAGAAAAATTTGAAATTTCAATTTCGGTTACACTTAAACCCTAAAAGTATTAATAAAGATACAAAAAGTTTAATCGAATTGCGAAAAACGTAGAAGACGACTAGTGGCTTTTAACAAAAGGAATTACAAAATCTGGGGAAAGAGAAAAAACAAAAAATCTCTCCTTTTTTCTCTTTCTCTCTTTCTCTCCTCGTATAAATACAGCAGCCACTGTTGTGTCCAAAGAATTTAAAAACCTTTTCTGTCGTGTCGTGTGTCCGTATAATGATGATGACTCCACACACATTTCTTCATCACTTGCATTGATTCGTTTGTGAATTCAAATCATCAAGAAAATTCGTTATCGTCTCGTCAAGCTTTTTAGCCTGAGGACCAGCTTTCACCACGTTGACATCGTCCCACTCCGAGCAAGGATCCGTCCACCAGCTACCGTGGCTCGAGCACCAAGCTCCAGGAGTGACTCGGAACCGCCCGCGCTTCAGTATCTCCCTGTCGACCATGTCCAAAACCGGGTCGTCTCTCTTGAACTGCCGCGCGAACGCCGCCCCGCTCTGCGCCATCTGGTCGAAATCCGCGACGGTTAAGAAATGCGGCTCCATCTTCGGCGGACTGTCCCATATCATGTAACGCAAATCGCCGTTCACCGTCGTGTTGGTGAACTCTGGCGCGTTGCATATCACCGTGTGGAAGTAGCATTCTTCCGATAAGATCACGTTGTTGAAATACATGAGGAGGATTCTCGGTAAATTGTCCCAACCGAAAATGCAATACTCAAGAAAAGATCTGCTTAGTACAGTCCATGGAGAGCCTACAAAAACACATCCCAATTTTGTTTTAGAATTCATATAATATAAAGTTTTTATTATTAGGTAATGAATCATTTGCCTGTAAAGACTTTGAAAGCATCTGGTGTTGGTCGTTTCTCAGTAGCGGTAAAGAGCTGTGTTCTTCTTGCTAAGTAAAGCGCTGGATCAACAACTATAGGCTTGATTCTCTGAGATCTACAGAAGAAACATACCATTTTTTTTATCATTTTCATAATCATGTAACAAAGAACAGAGTTAATCAACATTTCACTTACTCTTTCCAAGCAAGGTCACTAGTGTGATCAATGAAATTGACGCTTTTGTTCACCGAGGCAAACACATGAGACAGATCTGAGAAAGAAAAAAATAATCAAATCCAGGTCATATGAAGACAAACAGAAGCAGTAATAAAGTTCTAAAAGCATTTTCCATAAAAGAGATCATTGTCGTTATCATCAATGACACTGATTTACATTTCCACAACCTTAAAATTGCAAATTTGATTCCATGAATGTTGTTACTACATACCGTCTTGAGTAATGAGGGGATAATCCAAGGCGCTAAGCTCAACGAACCAATTCCAAGTCCGATCAAGCTTGAGCAAGATCGAGACGGCGTGGAGAGTAGCGGCGATCTTAGAAGCGCCGTTGTCAGAGAGACGATCGACTTTGCCCAACACATCGACATTGCCGAAAGCGTTCACGGCGGGAACAGATTTCAAGTCGGAGAGAAGAGAGAGCCGCTCGGCGTCGGTAGCGTCAGCGCCCAGATGGAGAAGGTACCGGTTTCTAGGATGGTAAACCGCTAGCAATAACCGGAAGATCCGGTTATTGTCTCCGCGTCCTCCGGTTATGTAGTAGGCGAAAGCCGGCGGGTAATGAGCACCGTGGCGGATTGCGGAAGGGAAAGGCTTTGAGGTGAAGGCGGAGATTGAGTAGAGTAAGAGGAGGAAGACTGAGAGGAATACTACGGAGAAGAGAGTGAATAGCCATTTCTTCTCAGCTCCCATTTTTTCACTTTCTTCACCTCCGATTTGCTTTGAATCGGGCTCCGATTGAGCATAGATTCGTTTTTTTAACCGATCGAATTAGAGCTCGTTCATGGATCTCGAGAAATGAGATCTCGGCGTTCGCGAGCCCGATGAGATCTCGGTGCCGGATTGAAGAAGCAACGAATAATTTTTTCGCAGAGGAAAAATTGGAGCTAATAGAGAAAGATAATAGTGGAAGAGAGAGAGTGAGAATAAGGTTAGGGTTAGAGACGTAGGCTTAAGATTTGGACTTGGAGGCTCTGAAGAAGACAATCGATTCTCTCTCTCTCTCAGGTACAAAAATTTGGATCTCCGTTCTGAGTCGGTTGAGAAAGTATTTTAAGTCGATTGTTAACAGTAATGGCAAAACTTTCTTCACCACCACTCGAGCCTTGAAATCGCATGACGTACACGCTCGTTAACCAAAGAGATGAAGACACCACACGAGATTCCTCCGTGCGTTCCACGCGCGAGTGAAGATAAAAGTGGATCGGGTGGTTAACCGGCCCGAGGAGATGTGCTTTTATTTAATTAAATTAATTAATAAATTAAAATGAAGAGTGGACAAAGACAACTTTTAAACATTCAAGATTATTGCAACTCCTGAAATAGTAGTAATCTGGACCATATTCATTTATATAACTTACCCTTTTAGATCTTTCAAAAACAAATTATCCAGACACAAACGTAATATCAATATATGGAAAATATATTGTTTGATTGATAGAGAAGTTTGATTTGTTGTTGTTTTTCACTACTAAACGGAGTTGACTTCATCTTCATCGTCAATCTCAATCTCATTCTCATTCCCTCCGCTTCCACGGCTACGGCTACGGCTACTGCTTCCGCTGCTACTTCCACTGCTTTTGCTCCGGCCATCACTGTCACTTCCACTGCTGCTTCCGCTGCTACTGCTTGAGCTCGAGCTTGAGCTTCCACCTTTCTGCACCTCTAAGTTCACTTGCGCTCTAAGCGCTTCCGCTGCGTTGAGACCTTCGGATGTAAACGTGGTGTCATCATCCACATCTGCGATCTCCTCTTCCATCATGCTTAGCTGCTTGTTTAAATCCTCCACGTATTCTCCACCATCATCATCATCAGCATCGTCTTTGTCTATGTCTACATTCTCGTTCTCTGGTGTAAATGAGCCGAATATCTCCACGAAATCGATTTCGTGATGTTCTTCTCCGTCCTCATCGTTCTTTTCCACAACTGGTGATACAGCTGATGTGTTTGCAGGGATAGTAGCTTCAGCTGCAATCACTTTTTTTTTCCATTAGAGCCACATTAGTTCTTACACTTAACCAAACCATGACCAGATCTATCAAATCTATGCTTATAAAAGGTAGTGTGAATGTGTAAACTTGAATCAACAGACGTCCATGTACTAGCAACCAAACTCAACCAACCATATGTACATGCAAACAGTGTACGCTATGATTCAAAGAATCAAACTATTTAGCTATAAGATAAGACTAAAAAGGCTAAATTTTTATGAGCACATCACTGGAAGAAATTACTAACCTGAGTTCTCTGACTTGCCAATTTCGATTCTCTCCACCTCAACCTGCAGAGATAATACAGAAAGTGAGAAACTTCAACCAGTAGTAGCAATCAACAAAAGACTATCAATTAGTCAAAGATATTAGGGAAACTCACAGGCACTTCAGGAGGCAAACTTCGATTCACATGTGGAGATTTGGCAGGACGACCAACAGGAGATAACCGATGCTCCACAGGCACTGCACCAGACTGAGAAGACGCAGCAGATTCATCGGGCGTCCTACGATGTCGCAGCTGCTTCACAGCCCGATGCAACCTCTCCAGCCGGAACTTCTCACCGTCGAAAAACAGCACCGCGTCGTTCTCTTTGTAGTCCTCGCTGCTGCCTTCAAACGTCACCTTGGGTTTACCAGGTTGGTTGTTTTGAAACTCGACTGAGACTCTGTTATCCTTCTTCTTGTGCAGAGTTCCTGACCTTCTCTTGTCAATGGAAGCCGGTTTAAATTCGTCTGCAAGTAACATATCTCAGTAAAAAATTATCAAATCCAGATTCGTATGAACCATTACCCAGTTTGCAATTCATAATTTCCCAACTTCACTGAAGCTTTCTCAATTTCAGTGGATTTAGAGATTATATGATCATAAACAACAAACGAGCTTCGATCGAATCAACTGAAATCGAGAATCGGAACTCACATCGCAAAGTGCAGAACTTATGGGAGGAATCATCCTTAGCAGAAGGACCGAGGACGAGATCATACCATTGATCTGTCTTCGGGGCGGTGCTGGGCTCTTCTCTAGAGAGATTCGACATCTTTGGAGAGGATCGATCAACGATTGATTCAAGGTGAATCCATCAAGAGGAAGAAGAAATTTCAAATCACGCGACAAACTCTCTCGACGGGGACGAGATTTTCGCGAAACCCGATTCTCAAATGCGGAGGAGGAGGACCCAGAACAGTCGCTTGCTCACGTAGGGTTTTTCTTTGGAGCAGAGAAACGAATCGATCAGAAAAATTCGGATCCGATACCCGCCGATTCATGTGTTTTAATCTGTCTAACCAATTATAAACGAACACGTGCGAATAAGTCTGCGTTTGGGAACCACGTGGACCTGTTTGGTTTGTGGCAGCTATTTTATTCCCACGTGCGGTTTATTAATCACAAACTCCAGCCAAACGTTCCCTTTACTCGGGTACCGCGGTACGAATTTACTGCAGCCTTGAACCGGTTATTTAGTGTTAAACCGGCCTTGAGCGGCGCATTTCATAGAACCGGCTTTTGAGCGCCTACTGATTTGATAAAGAGCCTATTGGGCTTAATTTCTACTTCCGTGGGGTCTCTAGCCCAATAGCTAATATGTGTGACTGTGTCGTTCAGACAGCAGTTATCTTCTTCCGATGTGATAACCATGAAATGATTTCAAGTCAAGAGGAACACTCAAGGAAAAAAAGACAAAACCATAATTCAATCAATAGATTTGGTCTGAATGGTGCATCTTCCTCAATGACATATTCCATGTGAGCGCCAGGTGTTCTTCTCACTTCCCAACTATCTTCTCAAATCATTGTCTTAAATCAAGTTTTGGTTTTCTTCTTCTATTTTCTGATTCAGATTCATCACTGTTGTGTAAATACAGTTTTCCTCCTTCTCTGTTATCATCAAATTGCTTGGTACTGCGTAGGAAATCTCAGTTTGGTCAAACCTCTTGTGTTTTTTTCCATCGTTGACTTCGAGTTTTGCACAGTAAGATCAAGAGTCGAAGATGTCGAGTTTCTCCGGTGAGAACAATGTCAGTTCTAGATTCGAGGATATTCTCAGTGGTATCATTCCATTAATGAAGCTTATCTGCTTAACCGCGATCGGTTTACTTCTCGCTCACCCAAAGACACAACTAGTCCCAAGAGCCACGTTTAGGCTCTTAAGCAAGCTCGTGTTTGCTCTGTTCTTGCCTTGCTTGATCTTCACCGAGCTAGGAGAAAGCATAACCCTAGACAACATCGTCCGTTGGTGGTTTATTCCGGTCAACGTCTTGCTCAGCACGGTCATAGGATCCTTCATAGGATTCATAGTCGTCCTCATATGTAGACCACCTCCAGAGTTCACTAGATTCACAATCGTCATGACTGCTTTCGGAAACACAGGGAATCTCTTGCTAGCTATCGTGAGCTCGGTTTGTCACACCAAGAACAACCCGTTTGGTCCCAACTGTCACTCGAGAGGGATCTCGTACGTGTCGTTCGCGCAGTGGGTCGCTGTGATTCTTGTTTACACCGTTGTGTATCACATGATGGAGCCGCCTCTGGAGTATTACGAGGTTGTTGAGGACGAAGGGATTGAGATTGAGGAGATCAGTACTGTCTCTGCTCATGACGTAAGCAGACCGCTTCTTGTGGAAGCTGAATGGCCAGGGATCGAGGAGAAAGAGACAGAACATTGCAAGACACCGTTCATCGCTAGGGTTTTCAACAGCATTACGAGTTACTCGATGGCTTCTTTGCCTGATTTTGATCTCGGAGGAGGAGATACCGGAGCCGGAGGAGGAGAGAGTTCGAGTCCGAGGTCGATGCAGTGTTTGGCTGCACCGAGAGTGATTAGGAGGATAAGAGTTGTGGCGGAACAGACTCCGGTCAAGCACATACTCCAACCTCCAACGATTGCTTCTTTATTAGCAATCGTTGTTGGATCAGTACCACAGCTGAAGAAGATTGTATTTGGATACGATGCTCCACTTTCTTTTATTACAGATAGTTTGAATATAATGGGTAACGCGATGGTTCCTTCTGTGATGCTTGTTCTTGGTGGTATGCTCTCTGAAGGACCTAAAGAGTCGACTCTTGGGTTAAGGACTACGATTGGAATAAGTGTTGCGAGACTCTTGGTGCTTCCTTTGGTTGGGATTGGGATTGTCATGTCAGCTGATAAACTTGGTTTTATCTCCTCGGATGATCCGATGTTTAAGTTTGTGCTTCTGTTGCAGTATTCGACTCCGAGTGCTATTTTGCTTGGAGCTATTGCGAGTCTGAGAGGTTATGCGGTTAGAGAGGCATCGGCGCTTTTGTTCTGGCAGCATGTCTTTGCGCTTTTGTCTCTTTCGTTCTACATTGTTGTCTTCTTCAAGCTCACCGTTGGTGATAATAATGTCCAAGGTATGCCATAAATGTGAAAAGAAAACAAAAACTGTAACCTTTTCTTGTAAAGAATGTGATGATGGTGGATCAATACATTGAATTTCATTTTGTGTGTTTGGTGAATATTGGACCAACTTTCATATTATTATTGTATAATCAAATTCATTTTTGAAGAAGTTTCTTTTGTACCAATTACCAAAAATGGCATGAACCATGCACTTACAAGTTTGATGATATCTTATTTCCTGGCGTAAACCATCTTGAAACAGAGCATCATCGTATTCACATGCTTTCAGATTGAATATGTATGCACACACGGGACAGTGACATTCATTATAAAAATTAAATAAATTAAAGAACCTCCATAGACCAACGACCGTCATGATGTCCAATGGTGGAGAAAGAGGCTGCTTTGAGAAAGATAATGGCATCGGAATATTCGAGGAACTTATAGGAAAACGTGTTCTATATCTTGGAATTTGAATCTTATACTACTAATTATTTAGAGAAAATAAATTAAATTTTGTTGGCACCGTCGAAGTAGAATCAAGATTAACCGATTACACGGTAATAAGATTTCGCAAGAGAAAAAACCATTCAATACTCTCCAGGTGGCATGATACACTCACTCAAGGCTTCTGATTCATGGTTATAACGAAAATTGAGGATAATCAACATGTAAATCAGATACTATATTTTCAAGTTTAGATATATATTCAGAATTTTCGTATCTCCATTTGATTACATTTAAATTTAGCTAAACCCTATCAAATCTTACTTATCTTTCCCAAAAAAGAACCGTCAAAGAAGACGAATACGATACTTATCTTTTTCTCTCTGTAGAGTCGTCTCTCCTCTTTAAAACTCCATTGTCACATTTGTACATTCAAAACACAAAAGCGCAAGTCGTGTCTCTCTTACTTGAAAAATGGGTTCTACGTTCGATCCTCTTCTCACGCCCGCCGATGATTCCGCCGCCGTCACGCTCACACAAGACGACCTCAAGAGAATCGCCGCCTACAAAGCCGTAGAGTACGTCGAATCCGGAATGGTCGTCGGTCTCGGCACTGGCTCAACCGCGAAACACGCGGTGAGTCGAATCAGCGAGCTTCTCCGAGAAGGAAAGCTCCGGGACATAATCGGAATCCCTACATCAACCACGACGCACGTGCAGGCGATTTCTCTCGGGATTCCGTTATCCGATCTGGACTCGCACCCGGTGGTGGATCTATCGATCGACGGCGCCGACGAAGTCGATCCGGCTCTCAATCTGGTGAAAGGACGCGGCGGATCGCTTCTGAGGGAGAAGATGGTGGAAGGAGCGTCTAAGAAGTTCGTGGTGATCGTCGACGAGTCGAAGCTCGTGAAGCACATCGGAGGAAGCGGACTCGCCGTTCCGGTGGAGGTGGTGCCGTTCTGCTGCAATTTCACTCGGGGGAAGCTCGAGGAGCTTTTCCGGGGAGCGGGATGCAAGGCGAAGCTCAGGGTGAAGGTCGGATCCGGCGGCGGAGAGACGGCGGCTGTGACGGATAACGGGAATTACGTGGTGGATCTGTATTTGGAGAGGGATATCGGAGATCTGGATGCGGCGAGCGAGGCCATTTTGAGGTTGCCCGGAGTTGTGGAGCACGGGATGTTCCTGGGGATGGCGACCACCTTGATCGTCGCCGGTAAATTCGGTGTAACCGTCAAGGATAGGTTTGGGTAAAAGAGTCATTTTGCTCGAAAAATTAGGGTTTATGGTTTGATTTTGATTTTTCTCGTGAAATGGATTTGGTTCTGTAAACCCTTTTCTCCTATTGGCTAGACCGTTGACTTATTTTTTGTCAAACTCTTTGACTATTAAAGACTGTTTGCGTTGAAAAAAGTTCTGATGCAATTTCCAAAGTACACTGGAACTTTCTCTATTTTACAAACAAACCCGAAACGTTTATCTAATATTCCTTCCGTTAAAAAAAGTTTTTTTTAAGATAAATTTTCTGAACATTTTTTGTTGTTTCACAAAGATAAAATTTTTAGCTTTTTGAAGTACTTTTTCAGTTTTCAAGAAACAATAATTGAATTTGTTAGATTTTTATTGGTCTAAGTTTATAGAAAGTTGTTTTATTGCCAAAATCTATACACTAATGATTGAAAATCAACTTTTTCTTAATATGTGTGAAAACTCTATAAAATTCATTTCAAAAAAACGGAGGGAGTACTAATAAATCAGCAGTCACCTCATGGCTTATTTAATCGACACGTGTCTTTTCAAATCTTTTTATTTTATTTGTTTTTTAATTTTTGTTTTTTGTTTTTTCAAATATGGTTATTTTTTTCTGTGATTTCTTCTTTTTCGAAACCCACATTTGCTTCTTCTTCCTAAACCCACGATCTCTGATTGAAACGTTCCTCATATTTATAACTTCCTCTTCTTCAAAACTTAATACGGTTTCTAGCAATCAAATTCAGATCTTCAAATCTACTTTCCAATGACATCGCGATCGATTGAGCAAGAAAATGCTATTGCCGTGGAGGAAATCAACATGTCGGTGACAGTGTCTGCCAGCAAAAAGAAGAGGGGAGGAAAACGGAAGAAAGTCAAAGAAGTGAAGGAGAAGTAGCATGTTGCTGCGACAGTTCCGAAGAAGAAAACCGTCTCTACTCATGAGGTATGAGAGTTCCAGATCTAGCTTTTTTCTTGGTTGTTTCTGTCTTATATCGTGCCGAATTCTGATTCTGATGAGATTAGAGATTGAATGGTTTTGTTGTTGTTTTATATGTTGTAATTCAGATGATTACAATGAAATTATAAGGTCTTTTCGTCTTCATCTCCCTTATTATTTCGCCTTCCTCTAGAAATCAGCAAAGAGAGCAACAACCTCTGCAATCGCAACAAACACTCTGGTAATATATAGTCACAGATGTTACTTCTTTATATGTATGTAATTTTTATTTGCTGATTGATCTTAATTTGTGATATAGATTGTTGTTTATGAACCTACGTTTTATTTTTTGTGGTAAAATGTGAAGATCTTATGAACATAAGTAACTGCTCTTTATGTCTATCGAAATGTAATTGGTTCAGTTATTAGCTCCATGAACTGTATGTCTACATTAGGTTGAAACTAAATTTGTTCAATTGTGAAGGTCATTTGAATCACTTGCCTAAAGTTTGAGTCTTTTGGCTGTAAATCTGAAAATACAACATAAGAAATACGATACTAGAAATCCTTTCAATTTCACAAATAAATTATCTCTTAGCATCTGGGATGATTGTATTAGCATTAGGACATTGTGAATTGTGATTAAAATTTGGATGTTTTATCCGTCTTTTCAGGTTTGGAAAACAAAAAGATAGTGACCATTGAGCCAGCTGATAAGGAGCAAGGTGTTGTACTTGGAATCACCAAGACCAAGAAGCAAAACAGACGTAAACTCTCTGTTAACAAATTTTTCCTCAAGAAGGAGTTCCCAAAGATGATCAAAGCTATTGTCAACTAGGTATTATTCAGTTTATTAAAATTAATGTTTGTTTGTACTATTAGTTTCATATTTGGAAGATCTTATGGTAAAAAAATTTAATTAGTTGAAAATTTTGACTGTCGATTCTTATGTTGGCTGTTTAGGATGTGTTAAGAGAGCTAACAGGTACGAAGAGAACTCTTCTGTGGGGTATATTTACTATGAAATATATTTGTCATGCTTGGCTTTTGAGATAATAATAGGATGGGAGAATAATCATATTTAGGTTGAAAATTCTTTTTTAATTGCAATTGCCGTCATCAGTGATGAGAAAGCTAAAACGCAAGAAGAAGATTCCTCTATGCGATGTTTCTTCAATGAGATACGTAAGGAATGAGAAGTGCCTAGAAAACGGTGGAGATACAGAGCAGTACATTGCACTTGAACGTGGAGAGTGTACGATTAAGTTGTCATAATTATACTTTTGGTCTACATTTTTTCTAATTATCATTTCATCTATATATTTTGTTATCTGTTCATATACTGTAAAATATATTTATTTTGTTAATATATATGCATCCTTATTTTTTATTAATAAAATATTAAATCAAAAGAAAGTTTACTACTATCAACCGTTTGTTCACCTCTATTCTCACTCTATATTTGTCTTCAAAAAAGTTTATGCTTAACATAATGATATATTATGACAGAAAAATAATATTAGTCTGTGAAAGAAAAATTGGAAGAGAAATTGAACCGTGCATACGCACGGGGTAATACTAGTACTTTACTAAATTGCCTAAAACCTCTGCTATTTACCAAAGTTGCGTGGTATATAAACAAAAGGGCTTAGTGGGCCTTCTTTCATAAACCAATGGGCCTGTTGGTCATAAATTATTTTTTCAAGTTGCTTCGAGTGCATTTGGACAAGAACTGATGTCGGCAGCGAATCTTTTTGATGAAGTGTTTTCAGTTTAATTCACGTAATTTGATAAAGCGAAATCTTGTCAACAAGGGTGATATTTTGCTCAATTTTGTTCGATTGTATATCGTGGATTTCGTACTCTTGTCTCAGAAATTTCATTCACGTACCACCACCATTTACTGACTGAATATCGAAAATGTTTGTGTGGCCACAATGTGAAGAACAAAACGGGACGATTACAAATTTACAAGTCTATATAATTTTCATATTTGGTAATTTAATAATCCATACAATATCTTTGAGCTCATCTTCACGCCAAAAAAAATGTCTATCTCATGTAATATCTGGATTTGGTAGACAAGATAATAAAAGAATTTAAAAGTAGACACTTTCTAATGCGGGAGAATAAAATAACATGTTATGGGTTAGTTTTGTTATGGAGCAAGAAAGATGCATTCCCCAATAAAAAAGATTTCACACAATTTGAGTCACATGATCCTCTCACATGCTAGTATGCTACTTCACGCATTTGAACGATCTTGACTCTCCTAAATTAGACCCACCCTAATGGCATGCTAATATGAATCACAATCAAACAAATACTACATAGCAAAAAATAGGAATTTACTTGAATATAAGAGAAGTCTAATATTAGTTTAAGAAGGATGCCTTATACTATACGATATAAACTTCTTTCATTTTTTTATTAAAGCTAAAAGTAGAGACGTACGTCAAATACCAAACCCACATTAAAGTGATTTAGGTTTAAGTTTGTAATCAGCTTTTTTGTAATATAGCTAGCAATTTGATAGATCAAAAATATCCTGAAATAGTTCATATAAATCGAAGGCATTGGAGTAGGATACTTTTAAATAGTTTATTTCCGTCAATGTCAAGAAATCTTTTGCCGTCACTAGGACGAGTCTATAAAGTCTTGAGATCCCATAACCTCCACCGCAAGTTATGATAAATTCAAAGTCTTAAAGTCAGGTCCAAAAGCAAATCAAATATTTTAACAATATACATGAAAGTCACGTATGAAAATTCTTCCTAACGTAACTCGTTGAAAAAGTAACCACAATATTACTGTGAGAATTCAGAAAACAAAATCCATGTGAAATAGAATTTGTCCTAAAACACAAATGAAGGAAACACACATCATTTTTTCCAGTCAAACAGATGCATGTAATGTTTAAACTCTAAATGGAAAATTAGATATTTAGATGAGTTTTATTGACTATTGACACAGAAACAATGCATGGTTCTGAATTTAATTATATGAGAATGAGATTACCAAATTTTCTTCAGAAACTGTTTGGGAAACAAATCTTCACACACCATTAGTCAAAAAACAAAACACATGAGTCTCTTGAATTAATGGTCCAACTCCAATCAATGTACCGTCCGATTTAAGTTCAACACGTGGCTACAGATACAAAGCGCCACTAGAGACACCGAGACGGAGGGACGCAACCAACACGTTAGACCCATGGAGTCAGTCACTAGTAGGACCCACATCTAATCAATGTATAACCCAATCAATTCCTTAATTACAAATCTCAACTTTTTAATTAAAAACAAGGGCCATGCGATGATGCATGTTAATTAGTGTGCGCTTAACAGAATAACGAAATCATTAATTGTAAAATTGATTCACCACTTATAGGTTATGAACCAAACATGCAACCAATTTAGGATCTAATCAATCTAACAACTATTTTCATTTCACCAAGTTGTTAACTGAATCCCTCCAACCTGACTACTCTTTTTTGTTTGTTTTATTATTAAGAATTGAATAGTTTTCGATTATGTGTGCATGTGAAAAGCGTATATAAAAATACCCCAAAATTGCAAGTGTGAAAATAAGAAAAATGAAAAAGTAGTAAAGGACAAGAGCAAGTAAAGGTGAATAAAGCATTCTCTCTCTCTTCTCTTCTCTTTTTCACTTTCCTCAATAAAAGGCAAATCAGCTGAGGCAAGCCAAAGCCATGGAGCGCGGGTTTATAAATCTCTGACGACACCCCCTGCGTTTTCCAAGCTTGAACAATGGCGGCCTTTCTTTGATCCGACGAGAATCCGACTTTCTCTTCTTCTCATGCCGCGAATTCGTATCGTCGACGTTGCAGCAGCTCAGTGAGGAAAAAGAAGAAGAAGAAAATGAAGTTCTCTGTCTCCGTTTTTGTTGCTCTCGCTTTCGTTTCTCTTCCTTCTTCCGTCGCGCTCTCCAGAGATTCATCCTCTTCCGCCGCTGCTCAGGAACCGCTTAAGCTCATCTTAGGTTTCTCCTTCTTCATCCTTTGCTTCACGATGATGCAATTTCTCACGTTATTCTCGTGTTTTTCGCTCTTAAATTCCCGCTGTTTCGTTTTCTGCAAAATCCATCGCCGAATCTAGACTTACCATATCGAATTGAGTTTGTGAAGCTTCCATTATATCTGGGATTTGTTGTTTTAGTCTTTTGTAATCCCAAATCTGTGAATGCTTTAGAATTGTGATGAATTTGATTTTGATTCTCAGTTCTGATCAATGTAAAATTGGTTTTGATGCAATCACAGGATCGCCTAATTTCGGATCATGGAAAGGTGTAATCTCATCAGCGGATTCATTAGCGCCAGGACCTTCGTCAGATTTCTCTGATTACCTCGTTTTAGCAGCTGATAGAACGAAGAGACCTGACATTCTCAGAGCTTTCAAGCCTTACCGTGGAGGCTGGAACATCACCAATAATCACTATTGGGCTGTAAGTTCTCTGTTCTCTCTCGTCGTCTCCAATGATTGAAATTTCCAGGAGATGATTGATTGATTGATTCAAGTTTTATTATCTGCAGTCTGTTGGATTTACAGGTGCGCCTGGTTTCATTCTAGCTGCTGTGTGGATCTTATCTTTTGGCTCTCTTCTCGTTGTGTATCACTGCTGTAAATGGAGAGTATGTGAGAAAGCTAAAGGATCATCATACAATTCAAGAAGAATCTGTCTCATCTTGTTGATAATCTTTACATGTGCTGCAGCGTAATTAATCTCTAACTCTCCTTCGTCTTTGTTTCCCTTCTCTGTGAGATTGAATTGGTTTCTTTTGTTTTTTCAGTGTGGGATGCATTCTTTTGTCTGTGGGGCAGAACAAGTTTCACACTGAGGCTTTGCATACGCTGAAGTATGTGGTGAACCAGTCGGATTACACTGTGGGGATCCTCCAGAACGTGACTCAGTATCTGTCCCTTGCGAAGACGATTAACGTGACGAGGTTCTCGCTTCCGCCGAATGTATTGGGTGAGATTGACAAGCTAAACGTCAATCTGAACAATGCAGCGGTAACACTACAAGAGACGACGACTGATAATGCTGCTAAGATTAAAAGAGTTTTCTATGCTGTGTAGGTTTCCTTGAACCTTAGTGTTGTGAACCTGAAATGACACCAGTTTTATGATTTAACAGGACTAACTCTGTTTTATGGACTTTTTTCAGGCGATCGGCTTTGATTGCAGTGGCTACTGTGATGCTCATTCTTTCTTTTCTTGGTTTTTGTAAGTCAAGTTGATGTTCATTTGTGGTTCCATTTGATTTAGCTGTGTGACATCCACTTGAATTTAACGTTTCTCTGTTCTTTGCGTTTTACAGTGCTTTCTCTCCTCCGCCATCAACATCTTGTTCACATGTGAGCCTTTTAAACTCCAAAATCTTCATTTATAAAACTTTTAGTGGATTGAGATGAATGTAAATCTGACTGACTCATGGGGATTTATATAATGGCAGAATCGTAGTGAGTGGGTGGATACTGGTTGCTGTCACATTTATCCTCTGTGGAGTCTTTCTGATCCTAAACAAGTAAGATTTTTGCTGTTAGATTGTTTGTGATAGAGTAAAGATCACTGCTTCTTTCCTTTTCTCTAACGTCATTGTTTTGTTGTTCCAGTGCAATTTCAGATACGTGTGTAGCAATGAAGGAATGGGTTGATAATCCTCACGCAGAAACAGCGCTAAGCAGCATCCTCCCATGTGTTGATGAGCAAACAACAAACCAGACTCTTGCACAGAGCAAAGTCGTCATCAACAGCATCGTCACCGTTGTGAACACCTTCGTCTACGCCTACGCGAACACAAACCCGTCTCCAAATCAAGACCACTACTACAATCAGTCCGGACCTCCAATGCCTCCTCTGTGCAGCCCCTTCGACGGAAACATGGAAGATCGCGAGTGCTCCTCTCAGGAACTGTCAATATCAAACGCATCATCGGTACCACTCAAAAACTCACCAATCTTAATGTCTAAGAACATTGTGTTGATACATTTATTTGTTTTCAGGTATGGGAGAGTTACATATGCGAAGTATCACAAACCGGAATCTGCACAACAGTGGGGAGAGTAACCCCTGAGATCTACGGGCAGTTAGTAGCAGCTGTGAACGAGAGCTACGCGTTAGAGCATTACACGCCGCCGTTGCTTAGCTTCAGGGATTGCAACTTCGTTAGGGATACGTTTGAGAGTATTACATCAGATTACTGTCCACCGCTGGTTCGTAATCTGAGGATTGTGAATGCAGGACTCGGACTCATCTCTGTTGGAGTGTTACTGTGTCTTGTGCTTTGGGTGTTTTATGCGAACCGCCCCCAAAGGGAGGAAGTGTTTGCTGATCCACGCCCTCAAGTAAAAGACGGTCCTTTTGTTAACGGCTTGGATAGTCATCATCATTCAGGTGACGAGTCTAAGCTTTCTGCATAATACATATAGTAGAGAGGTATAGATAGAGAGATATAGAGTCATATATTGTATTTTCATAAAATATATGAAAAGAAAACAATAAAAGTCATTGTGTAGCGTTTCATGTTACATTAGTAGAAGAAGAAGAAGAAGTGGAGCGAAGTTTCACTTTCTTGATTGACCATTTTTTTACTTTCACTCGCATCTTGAATAGTCCATTTACAACCGGTAGGAGAAATTCTTAAAATGTGAAGTTGGTGGTGGCAAGAGCCATGAGATTAAAGGGTCTAATATGGTTTTTGCTACCGTTCCACAAAGCTTTTGACATGAGATGGTAAGTGCGTTCCGTGGGATGGTAAAAATCCCAAAACAGAAACTCGTTTGGGTTATTGCAAAGCTTGTAACCTTCTCTTCCACACTGCACCAATCCTCCCAATGTTCCTCCACCGCAACACGCGTTCGACACATCCGAAAACCCTTTAACACCAAAAAAAAAAAAACAAGATTCAGTCTTTTGCTGTTACACTTTCAAAAGGGTCTCAGAGTAAAAAAGTTACTTTACTTACCGTAACGAGCAGGGAAGGTTTGGAATCTGCGAGTGATACCATAAACAGCTCCAAACACAGCGATGGCTCCAGGGTACTTAGTGGGGATTATGTTAACTATATCTTCAAGTCTTGTGTTATATTTCTTGGCCATAACATTCATCTCTTCGAAGCATTTATCGGTTGGTGCGTTAGGAAGCAAGGCTCTTGCAGGGACACATCCCACAGGACCTAAAGAGAAGAAAGCGATGCGACGTGCGCCGAGTTTGTAGATTTGATCAATCGTTTTGTTTACTTCGGTTAGCATTGCGTTCACGTAGTCGTCAGGAGAGAGTGTTTGGATTTTGAATGGAAGGAAGTAACTGAAAATGTCGTTGGAACCGGATTCTAATAAGAAGAGAGATTCTTGGATTATGGATTTTTCGATTTGGTTTTGCTCTACTAGTGTTTGGAATTGCTGAAGCTGGGTTTGGATCGGTGTCACGAACTGCATTTTATATGATTCATTAGAATCGAACAATTTTCTCGCAAAAGAGATATGTTTTAGACTTTAGTTATTACTTACCATGTTTTTGTTGGTATCACGCAAGAGACCACTACCACCACTTGCAAAGTTAATCCCATTTGAAGGGAATTGTTTTAAAGTTCCGTTCAAGATTTGAATCTGCAGTTCCAAGAACGGTTTCTGTAACGGAAGGCCAATAAATTGAGCTGAAAATGGATCAAGAAAAGAGAGAAAAGTTAAGATGCCTTGCGGAAGAAGAAATCTTGAAAAAAGGTTGGGATTATAATTACAGATGAAGTCATTGACTAATCTTCCATTAGTGAACCTCCCGGTAGGCCGGTGGAAGAATGAAGAGCCGTAAGGAGGAAAATCAGCCTGAGCGGTGCAGTTTTTGATGAAATGATTGTTTCCGACGTCGAAGATGGAGTCGCCGAAGGTAAATATCGCAGGGACTGAGGGAGAAGCCTTGACTAGAGCCACCGGAGAGGTTAGAAGGAGCAGAGCGAAGAGTAAGTCCATTGAAGAAGAAGTCATGTGTGATGATGATCAATCCAAACACATTAATTATATACAATTAAGTCATGCGTGCTCACATTGAAATCACTTTATACGTTACACTTTATAAAATTTGTAACGGAAGGCAAGAACATTGTTCATGTTTTCACACTTTCTCTTCGGTGTGACTAAAGTTTGTACTTGTTCCAAATTTTCTATTCCTTAGTATAGATTAATCATTCCTCTAACCATTTCATTTGATTCAAATATGTATATATTAGAGAAAAAAACCTATACATTTTGCAGACCTAATTATAAAAATTGATTAGAATTTAATCAATTTATGAGTTTGAGCTTACCTATTCCCTCCCTCAAATAAATTTTATATTTGTCACTTATTCAAGTTTATTACTGAATGTAAAATAACTCAAGTACCACAACCAATGTTTGTTTGTTTTCATGTTTATTGATTTGGGTTTCATGCAATTAATTAAAATGTTTTGGGTTTAATTACGAAAAAGTACTAAGTATAGGGTCTAAACCTTAAAACTTTGAAACATTGATATACAAAACTGACACTTGTTTTGTTCTCACTCTTCCAGTAGACAGAGCGAAGGAACAGAGCTCTCTATCACCGACGGTGATCGTACTTTTTCCTGCGGCAGGAACATTTCTGCATGTCTTTTACTTTAAATCGAAAATCTCTAGGTATTACTCTTCTTCTCGTAAACGATTTTCTGTGCTTTGTACAATTAAATCGCTCATTTTGCCATTGAACTCGGTCTCTGACTCGGTGAGAGTTTGATATGAAGACGATTGATTTGTCACTGTCTCGGTCTGTATCTTTCTTCATATGATAGAAAACCACTGGCATAAAGGAGAAATTAGTAGAATCTGCTATAATTCTTAAAATTTGATAATTTCATATATATATTTTTGCTTCTTTTGTACGCCACTTGCATGACACTATTCAGGGGGCACAGATTATTTGATTATGGTTTTTGTTATTGACGAATCTCCAAACAAACCAAAGCTTCTCTAGATTTTTTCTCTTCAATAGTAAAAACTCATCCTAAAGGTTTGGAGATTTTCTCTTAAGAAAATAATATTGATACTATATTTTGATGATAAACTTTGACAGGTTTACCACGCACTGGATATCCTTGATGCTCAATTACATGTCTTGAGGCCATCACCTTAGTCAACAATGGTACATTGCCGATTACTTGTTCAAATGTTGGTTGTTGCATATCTTTTATGTCCATTTAGGAGTGTTATTACTTTTTTGGAACAGGCACACGATTCTTCTTCTAGTGATAGTGATTATTATGTTGATTGGAATTCCGATGATGATATGGAGATTGATAACCTAATTCAGACTAAGAAATCTCTCGAATTAGTTCAGAGGGGCTTCTCGGATGAGATGTTTGCTACGTTGGTTGACATGGGATTTTCTATTGACATGATTGCTAGAGCAATCAAAGAAACTGGTGAGTTTTTTTTTCCCTCTTGCTTGTATTCCTATGTGACATATGTTTATCAATAATGTGATATCAATTATTTTATAGGACCAAGTGCAGATATTTTAAAGATTATTGATATCATATCCAAGTACTCGGTTAGTTTCTTATGTTTACGTCTTTTATATTGCTTGTAATTTTCATGGCTCCTCTCGTCACATTTTTTAATTAGATATGTATTTATCATCTCTCTTATATTTCTTTGTGAAGAGTAATTGTGAAGCTGGTTCTTCCAAGTCTAATACTATTGATCATTTCCTTGGGATGGGATTTGATGAGGAAAAGGTTATCAAAGCTATACAAGAACATGGTAATTAGTAGTTACATATCTCCTTCCTAGCAAATAAGAAGTTAGACTTTATGACTTCTCTGACATTTTCTTTATAATTACTAGGAGAAGAAAATATGGTCCAAATAGCAAATGCACTTGCGGTTAGTGAAGTTGCAAATGTCTCTTGACATGAAAACTATTTTTACAACAATATATATATATATATATATATATATATCTTAATTTTTGTTGATGGTTTGTAGGATGCAGAGAAACAACCAGTAGTAAAAGAAGAAGATGACATTGACTGGTCATCAAGTGATGATGAGATCAATTATTCCAATATGTTAGTTTCAGATGATGAGGTATATAGTTTGCACAAAAAAAAAAAAAAAAAAGATGATGAGGTATATATGTACGGCGATAGTAACATCTGTTTACCAGCACACCTATCAATTGTAAATGTATGTTACTACTACTTTTGTAGATGTATAATATACAACCACCATTTTTTAAACTATTTTACACTATGACTGAAGGATTCAAACTCTTTCCCCGGGAACAACAACAAATTGCGGTCTTTGGTGAAAATGGGTTTCTCGGAGCTAGAAGCTTCTCTGGCTGTGCAGAGATGCGGTAACCTTACTACTACCATTAGCATAAACTTTTTGTTTTCTTCAATTTTAATTTCTTCTGGAGGAAGTTAGTGGCATAAATCTTCTCTCTAGGTCTTAGATGTGTGTATTGTGATTGTATTTCACAAATTGATACAATTGTTAGTTGTTGACATCTCTCTCAAATGTCCAACGGATGCTGTCATGTCACCTTATCCTTGCTTATATGATTATAATTTCAGGAGACAATGTGAGCATCGCAGAGCTCACAGACTTCATTTGTGCTGCTCAAATGGCTCGAGAATCCAGTGAATTTATCACAGACCCTGAAGAACAAAAAGTATGGTTAGAAGATTTTTTTTTTTTTTTTTTTTTTTTTTTTTTGCTATGGTTAAAATCTATTTATATATGTCATCTATTTTGTACCATAAAAAAAATTATTCCATAAGTTAATTTGTCTCAACGGTTTGTTTCACCAAGAAGAGGGAACTGATTTTTTGGGAAATTGTATGCAGCCTAGACATGATGTCAAGAAAATGCGATCAGAGTCAAAAAGAGAGTCTATGCCATATACTGATGACGTGCCGGTTAGCCTCCCAAATCCAATGATAGGGTTTGGGATTCCAAACTGTCCAGGACTCATCACACATAGACCACTCCCATATTTAGCTCGAGGCCCACCATATTTCTACTATGAAAATGTTGCACTGGCACCTAAAGGCGTTTGGGAGACCATGTCAAGGCGCTTGTTCGACATTGCACCAGAGTTTATGGACTCAAAATACATATGTGCTGCTGCGAGGAAGAGAGGTTACATACACAACCTCCCCATCAGCAACAGATTTCAACTTCAGCCTCCACCAAAGTTCACAATTCACGAGGCGTTTCCTCTGACCAAGAAATGGTGGCCAAGCTGGGACAAAAGAACCAAGCTGAACTGCATAGTCACCTCTAAAGCTAGCGCAGAGACAACGAAGAAGATCCGCTTGGCCCTTGAGGCTCACAATGGAGAACCGCCTTTGAGTACACAAAGGCATGTCATTAGCCAGTGCAAAAAGTGGAATCTTGTTTGGGTGGGAAGAAACAGAGCCGCCCCGCTCGAGCCAGATGAAATGGAGAATCTCCTAGGTTTTCCAAGAAATCATACACGAGGCGGTGGTGTCAATAGAATCGAACGCTACAAGTCACTCGCCAACGCTTTTCAGGTAATGTCACACCACATCTACATAATAATATTTTACGCAGAGCCGGCCCTGAGCACAAGCAAAGCAAGCTTGGGCTTCCGGCCTTGATAAATATATGAATATTTTCGGCCCCCTACAGTCATGTGCCTAGCTCAAAGTGGCGAGTTCGAATCCTCCAACATGATTTTTCGGCCAATTTTTTATTTTTTTTAGCTTGTGGCCTTCATAAGTTCAGGGACGGATTTTTACGAATACTTTTGTTCAGTGTTTTGAATTAGTGGAATAGTGGTTTAATGGTTTGCGTTTGAACTTGTTTTAGGTTGATACTGTGGCATATCACTTGTCTGTTCTGAAACCCATGTTCCCAACTGGACTCAATGTTCTCTCACTGTTTTCGGGTATTGGTGGTGGAGAAGTGGCGCTTCACCGTCTCCAAATCCCGATGAAGATTGTTGTCTCACTCGAGATCTCAGAAGTAAGCAGAAACATTCTGAAGGACTTTTGGAAGCAAACTAACCAGAAAGGACTGTTAATTGAGTTTGAAGACGTGGAACACTTATCTAACCAACAAATTGAAGAGTTGATGGAGGCGTTTGGTGGGTTTGATCTTGTTATTGGTGGTAGTCCATGCAACAACATCTCTGGTCTTAATAGAGTAAGCCGGAGTGGTCTTGTAGGTGAGCAATCTGCATTGTTCTTTGAGTATTGCCGGATTCTTGATGTGGTTCGTGAGAAAACTGCAAGAATGAGAAGATGAAGAAGATCGTTGATGATTCAAAAGTTCATCTATGTAGATATGACTGTTAGGCCCATTAACTGTTAAAGGCCCAGGTCCATAACAAATCCAATATATATTTTATATTCTGTAGTTTAAAAATTACTGTATATATTTTATTTTGAATCAAATCAAATCAGTACTTTTGAAATTTGAATCCACCTCTGATTACTTACTTAATTTAATGATTTTAGGACAGAATTATAATTTTTTTTTGTCCTTGCGTCATTCATTCGTCTCCTAGATTTTATAATTCTGTGGATAGATAATTCTGTACATGCTTCATGATTGGTTAAAGAAATTAATAAATCAAAAAAAATAAATGGAGAGGCATCAGGAAAAAGAGATTCTGAAAGAATAAAAACATATTCTGAAGCATCAAATTTCCAAATGCCAAAGCAGTGAAGAGCTTTCACTCCCTTTTTTAGGGGAGAGACGAAACCCTAAATCCCCAATTCACACGATCCAATTCCAATCCCAATTTCAGCTCTGAGATGAAACGTATCGTGAGGATTTCATTCACCGACGCAGAAGCCACCGATTCTTCCAGCGAAGAAGAGACGGAGGAGCGTGGAAGATCCCAGGCGCGCCGCCGTGGGAAACGGCTCGTCAAGGAGATTGTAATCGACGACAACAAATTCGTTGCCTGTAAGACGAGGTTTAAGATCAGGATTCCGGCGGAGTTTCTCAGGGCGACGGAGACGGAGACGAAGACGGCGACGGTGGGGAGGAGGAAGTTCCGTGGAGTGAGGCAGAGGCCGTGGGGGAAATGGGCGGCTGAGATTAGGTGCGGTCGAGCTCTCAAAGGACGACGTCTTTGGCTGGGTACTTTCGACACCGCCGAGGAAGCTGCTCTTGCTTACGATAACGCCGCGATTCAGCTGATTGGCCCTGACGCGCCTACCAATTTCGGTTTTCCGGCGGTGGAACAGTCTCAAGAGGTTAAGACGGTGGCCGGAGCATCCGCCGTTGCTCCAGGAGCGTGATTCGGGTTTGGTAATTTAGTTGGGTCGGGTTTAAAGTAGCAAGGTCTCTCGTAATGGCCCATTGTTGTTTAGTTTAGTGTATTTGTAAATTAATCTCTTTTGTTTAAATTGTAGCTTAATGTTTCTGATGATCTGTTGTAACTTTTGTACTCGTCTCTGTAAATATTTGTCACATGGACGAAATTAAAAACCTGAAAATTCCTCTCTTTGTTTGTTCTTTTTCATCTTCCTTTGTAAACAAAAACGATTGAAAAAGTGAGATTATGGTAGTTTTGACTTTTGAATACAGAGAGGTGGAGTTCTTAACCAAACGAACTTTTGATTTTGGTTCGTTATTCGGTTAAATTGTAAATTTTAGGATTTCATTATTTGGCAGAAAAAGATTAGTTGAAAGAAAAAGAGATTCTTCTAGCGTTGCAAATAATTTGATGCTTCATATATACCGATCGATAAAAATAAGTGTAGTTATGTATTTATATATCGGAACTAGGAAGTGAGACGAGAGTAAATAAACTACAAAGATTATGGAACAAATGTTCCCCAAAGAAAAGAGGAGAAATATGTGATTTCTCATATGGTATTAGAAGTTTAGAACGTAGTAAACGGAAACATATGTAACTGATCTTAGCTCAAGTGAGATATGTGATTTTGTCTGAAATGAAAGAACCAAAACAACCATCACATCTTGACTACGTATGTTGGACGAATAAAGAATCAAATCGAATATTCCGAGTAAATAATATGTCCACCACCAAGACTAGCCCCATAAATTACAAACGATGTATTTTCTGTATTAATGGTATCACTAAAACCGAATATGATATTTCAAGTAGCATATCCACTCCATTACCACTATAAATCTCATACATTGTATTTATTTATTTTAATGTATCAACTTATACGTCTATGCTTTTGAGTGGGAGTAGTGACAAATACTGAAAAGCTGTCATTTTAGCGGCTGCGTTCTCTTAATATGTTATTACAGCCTATGAGAAAAACTGATGGCTCAGAGAAAGGAAACGCTTTTCTTTCTTCTAGAGGCGTAGAAGAATCATAATACGGCAAGCCGCTAAGTTCCAAAAAGTAAATACTTTAAAAAGATAATGGAGGGAAGAAAACTGTTAAAAAGAGGAAACTAGATCCTTCTATAAGTAAACAAGCAAGAGTTAGGAAACTCACGAGAAGTGTGGGGTAAAAAAAAAGCAAACACATCTTCTTCTTCTTCTTCTTCTTCTTTTTGTTGTTATTGATGATTATCAAAACTGAAAATTGGGTTTGAAGATAAACTTTGACTACTTCAACTTGTTGAACATGACTTTTTGAATTAGTCATGTGATGCCTTGAAGAACAAGAAACAACCATATGTTGTCAAATATAATCAACATTGCAATTTTTACAGACCGCTAGACTAATTAAGGAAGTTTAAGATTTTGTTTAATTATTCTCTATACTTTCAGTAAGTCCAAATACAAAGTTTCACTATTTATTTTGTTTTCTTTAATTTGCCATCATATGTTATGGTCCATTAGATCCATATAAAAATTTATGGTGGATAAATGAGACGACGTATCTGAAGGTGAAGAATCTTGATACGACACTACGCAAAAATCCACAAACTTATATAAATAAATCAAAAATATATTTTATACTATATATAAAGTAGGAAGATACGATTAAACAGAGGTTATCAAAAAACTCACAAACAAATCTCGAGATTTCCGGGAGCACAAACCGAAGCGGTGGAGAGGGAATGGATTCGGCGGAGAAGGGTTTGCTCGTCGTGATCAGGGACGACGGAGGAGCAGAAGAAGAAGTTAACCCTAAAGATGGATTTTGCCGGGAGATGAGGAGGCTCGGTTACATCGCAGGTCCGATGATCGCCGTGAACACGTCCTCTTATTTTGTCCAAGTGATATCGATAATGATGGTTGGTCATCTCGGTGAGCTTTTCCTCTCAAGCACCGCCATTGCCCTTTCTTTCTGCAGCGTCACCGGTTTTAGCCTCGTCGTATGTCTATCTCTCTCTTTATCTCTCTCTTTCTTGTCTTTAATAAAATCTAACTTTTGTGTTTTGGGGATGATGATCATTGAACATAGTTTGGATTAGCTACTGCGTTGGAGACTTTATGTGGACAAGCGAATGGAGCAAAGCAATTTCAAAGGCTTGGAGAACATATTTACACAGGGATCTTCTCTTTGTTCATAGTTTGTATACCTTTGTCTGTTCTATGGAGTTACATGGGTGAGATACTCTCTCTTGTTGGACAAGATCCTCTTGTTTCTCAAGAAGCTGGCAAGTTTGCGACGTGGCTTATCCCGGGGCTCTTTGGTTACGCGGCATTGCAGCCGCTCGTTAGGTTTTTCCAGGCGCAGAGTTTGATCTGGCCTTTGATTATGAGCTCGATCTCTGCTCTTATATGTCACGTTGTTCTCTGCTGGAGCTTGGTTTTCAAGTTTGGGTTTGGGAGTCTTGGTGCAGCTGTTGCGCTTAGTGTTTCTTACTGGCTAAACGTGACTGTTCTTGGATTGTACATGACGTTTTCTTCCAGCTGCAAGAAGAGCCGTGCAGCGATCTCGATGAGTGTGTTTCAAGGAATGGGAGAGTTTTTCCGGTTTGGAGTCCCATCTGCTTCTATGATTTGGTATTAAAAATCCTCCTCTCTTTGCCTCTAGCTTTTGTGTTCTTGGTGGATTTAGATTGACTTGAATTGAATCTCTTTTGTGTTCTTGGTGTTGGATTAGTCTTGAGTGGTGGTCATTCGAGTTTCTTGTCATGCTCTCTGGGATTTTACCTAATCCGAAGCTAGAAACCTCTGTTCTCTCAGTGTGGTATGTGTTCTTTATCTTTGGAATGGAATGTTGTCACTTGTCATATATAAACTCAGTTTCTTTCTTTCTTCTTGTTCTTGAACAGTCTATCAACAATCTCCTCATTGTACCAAATACCAGAGAGTCTAGGAGCAGCAGCAAGGTTTGTTCTTGATTTTCCAGTCTTTTTCTTGATCTTGCAAAATGGGAGCCGTCTAAAACCCTAAAAACACACATCTCTCTGTTTTGGTTGTTGTTGCAGTACAAGAGTTGCAAACGAGTTAGGAGCAGGAAACCCTAAACAAGCTCGAATGGCTGTCTACACAGTGATGGTTATAACAGTTGTAGAATCAATATTAGTGAGTGCAATAGTCTTCGCTGCAAGGAACGTATTTGGTTACCTCTTCAGCTCTGAAGCCGAAGTTGTGGATTACGTTAGATCAATGGCTCCTCTAGTTGCTTTATCGGTCATATTTGATGCCCTACACGCAGTTCTTTCCGGTTAGATCTTGATCCTTGTTATATAATGTTAAAAGATTAACGGAATGAAGTAAAGGATTGATCAATAATGTGTTTGATGATTGAAACAGGTGTGGCAAGAGGATCAGGGAGGCAGAATATAGGAGCTTATGTAAACCTAGCTGCGTATTATATATTTGGAATACCAACAGCTATTTTATTAGGTTTTAAGTTGAAGATGGGAGGAAGAGGATTATGGATTGGGATAACAGTTGGGTCATTTGCACAAGCTCTTTTGCTTGGTCTTATCGTTGGCCTCACCAACTGGAAACAACAGGTTAGTGAATAGTGAAAGTGATGTCCCTTTGACGTGTTGGTTTTCATGTTTGGTTTTGTTAGATATTGTTTGGTCAATTTTTTAGTAAAGTGAAAGTGATGTTTATTTGATGTCTAACGAATTATGTGGGGGTGGATGTAGGCGAGGATGGCGAGAGAGAGAGTGATGGGTGATGAGTCTGAAGAGAAAGATAATGACGAACATGAAGAGTTGCTGATCAGCTAAATTCATCATAAAGTTCTTTTCAATCATTTTGTAATTTAAATGTTGTGTTTTTATTAGGTCGATTTTTTGGTGTTGTTGTTGTTTTTCGATTATAGTAATGATGAATTGATTGTGCACATGCACATGAGTTTTTGGCCTTTACTTTTACACATGACATGATGGGTTTTTTTTGTTCTTTACTTGTAAAATTTTTAATACTATCATTAATCAGATGATATAACGACTCTTGATGAAAAGAGTGAGAAAGTTTTGAGGAATCAACTAGAAGGACACTTGTACACCACAATATGTTGCTCCATAATAGTTGTATTCTGCTTTCTGCCTTTTTGTATTTACAATCAATCTTGCATATGGTATCACAAACAATAATGAAATGGGGGAAGAAAAAGATTAGTCAGTAATTATTTGTTTCTATGAATGTGTGTCATCATGCTTCGGTTGCAAGAAATCTAAAGATCATACTACTCACGTGTCTTTTATGCCTTGAAAGATCAACAAAATTGCATAACTTATTTTTCTTATGAGCCTTGATGAGATTTAGTTCATCTCTTTTTTGTTCCAAAAAAAAAAAAAAACCTAAAAGCTCTTGTGATCTGAATATTTTTGTTAGTGGAAAACATAAACTACGGACATTAATTTGCTCTTATGACCCCTTGTCTTGAAATTGAAACAGAGTTAGTTCGTTTTAAGGGATGTTGAGCTCTACTATTTCTTGATGACGACTTATAAAGAAGAACATTCCGGTGACATCTCTACGATTATTAGATCATTCAGCGATTGGGAAAAATGTAACGGTTTTTTTTTTTTTTTTTTTTTTTTTTTTTTGGCAACGGAAAATGTAACGGGTTTGTTGTTAACTAACCGTGACATTTTTGTGTTCTCAAGTAATATTTTTTACACTAACATACCTATGGGTGTCACTGGATCTCAACATTGCGTATATTCTCAGAAAGAAACCTGTTGCAACAATATCAGTAAGTAGTAACTTTCAATGTGATCAATAGAAAATTGTTAGTCTCTTGACATACACACATGTTACATAATCTCTCGTGTGACACAAACTTTACATACATTTTTATTATATGTGGAATCAGCATGATCTCATTTTTGTGTCATGTAATGTAAGCGTAACAAAAAAAAACTGTAGAATCATCTGAGATAATCATCAAGATTGTTTCATGAAACAGTCTCGTTGTCAATAGTTATATATAGTCTCTTTGTCAAGAGTTATGTATATGAATCAATGTTATTTAGTACTGGTATTTACCAATCATACCCTTGGAAAAGGGTTTGGATTTTAAACTAAAGGCAAAAACACGAAGGGCTTTTTGGGAATAACAAGAGAACTTAACATAAACGACGTCGTCTGGCAAGCTTGGAGTGCAAAAAAGGAAAACTCCTCCCAACGTAGTAGCAAATCAGAGCTTCAAAAGCTAAAGAGTCGTGGAGAGAGAGAGGTCAAGGGAAGAGACGGAGATGGCGAAACCAAAAGGAGACGAACTGAATCAAATCCTTTCTTGTTATCTCAACACCATCAACGATACTCTCCAGGTTTTTTGTTGTTTGATTGTTTAGTGTAATTTCGTGATGGAATTGTAAACCCTGATTGCTGATTTAGAGACCGGTTTTGGTGAAATCCTGCAGTTGTTCGAGCAATCTCCTCCGCCGACACAAACCAAATTAAGCTGGAACGATGTTCTTCATATGTCTGATCATCTCTCCAAACAAGCCACCATAGGTTTTGTTTCTGTCTTTTCGTAGCTTTTAAAAAAAATTCATCTTCAATTGTTTTGTTCATTGTGTTAAATCTCCATTTAGTGGGAATGCTATGGACTGGAGGAGAAACTCCAAAAGCTGAATCACTAAAGGAGACAATGGAGTCATACTTCAACGCGCTCCAAGGATTTTTGCTGCATTGCCATGGAAGCCTTGTTGCTGCTAAACCTACACTTTCGTCATCCATACAAGTCTCTGTTAAGCAAATCTTTAATTCCAGCTTCAAACTGTTGCAGGGCTCTGTCTCTCTATACGGTAAACAAATTTTCTCTCTGTCCTTCTGGTTCTTGTTGTAAGATTAACTCAAACTCTTGTTAATGATTTTGGGAAACAGAGGAATCATATGAGAAACACAAGAAGCCATTGATTCCACAGCTTACAGGAGCAGTGTGGGAGGCATGCTCTAACTTAAAGAAAGTTCCTACAACAAACATCAAAGCGATTGGTCGTGCGATGACACAGGTCGCTGTTTCGTTGCAAGATGTTCTTAGGGAGATGAAAGAACTAAAACCAGCTTCTTGTTCTTCTTCTTCACCTGAGGATGATGATGATGGTGCTACTGCAGACTCAGATGATGATGATTTAGGGGATGACTTGTCTCCTGAAGAGCTAGAAGTAGCTAATATGGTAGCTGATATTGTCTCTGAGACGCTTACGGTTGTGAAAGAGCTTATTCATGTTATTACAGGAAGGATTAAGATGGAGAATCCAAAGGATGATAGTGAGTTTGTGGATTGGTTTGAGAAGTTACTAAAGTTGTGTCAAGGAGTGGGAGTAGAGATTGATGAGCTTGGAGCTTGTGTTTATCCTCCGCAGGAGTTGAGTCTCATGAAAGAGACGGTGGAGAGAATAAGAGGGTACGTTGGTGAGATTGAGGATGATGTTGTTAAGGGTTTAAAGAATTCTTCTTCTTCTTCTTCTTCTTCTTCATCAGAAGCTTTCTTGGGAACATGCAGAAGGCTAAAGAGTTTGATTGAACATATGGTAACAGAGATGGAGACAAGAATCGATGCTCAAGTAGTAGTCTCCAAATTGCAGAATGTTACTCTTTAATTAATTAGCTCTTAGATTATGAGAAATTCATGTGCATGTAAGGTATCTATAAGAGGACTTGGTCGGACCAATTAATGTGCATGTAGTTTGTGTTAGTGATGATGGTTTGTCATCATCGGATTCAAATCTGCATAATGCTAAAGAGAAAAACAAGAATTGGCCTCCATTTTTGCAGTCTAAACCTCATGTTTGTATATACAAATTTCCATCATCATTTAAAAGTGAATCTTTCTGAACGTTTTTACTTTTTAGGTAGCAAATGTGCCAAAGAGAGATACAATGAAGAAGCTAGTATAAAAGCAATAATCTGGTTTGGGCTTGGGCTTTCATTGGATGGGTTTTGAACCATGAAATTTAGGCCCAAAGTGGTTTTAGTTTGTTAAAAATGTCTTTGCAGAGGCATCATCATCGGACTGAGAAAGTCTTTTGACCTTTATCTAACCAATAGCTAGATTCTGTGAGCGTTTGGTGGCGTCTGGATCGAAACAATAATCAGAGACATTTGCAGTTGGAATCTTGCTCATTTGTTCTCTGTCAAAGACAATGAAACAATGGTATGTATTTAAATGTCACCTTTTATCCCTTTCACGAACAGTTCTAGGGTTTTGTGAAGCTCCATAACCTATTCTTATTGTTAAGTTGTTTCTTTTTTTCAGTTTGAGCAATGAGGACAGGATAAGTGACTTGCCTGAAGCTCTGCAACTGCATATACTGTCTCTGCTTCCGACAAAAGAGGCCGCAGCCACTAGTGCTCTGTCTAAACAATGGAGATCTCTTTGGAAGTTGGTGCATAAGCTCGATTTTGATGATGTTTACGAGTTATATCCAAGTGCGTTTTCAGAAACTGTTTACAAGGTTTTGCTTTCCCACAAATCTCCCGTTCTAGAGAGCTTGCGTATCACTTTCAATGTAGACAAGTGCCGTGCTGCGGACGTCGGAGTGTGGATCGGAATCGCATACGCACGCCATGTCCGTGAGCTCACACTCTATCCCGGATCTGAGAAAGAAGAAGTGACGTACTTCGAATGCCCTATCAGCATGTACAACTCCGAGACGCTGGAGACATTGAAACTCGTCGCTTGGAACCTTGTTCATGTCACTTCTTCTCAGGCTTGTCTCACTTCTCTCAAAACTCTGCATCTGATTAGTGTCAACTACAAAGACGACTCGTCCGTTTTAAACCTTTTATCTGGTTGCCCCAATCTTGAAAACTTGGAGGTGCATCGAGAGGAACCGGATGGTGTGGAGTTCTTCATTGTTGAGGTTCCTTCTTTACAGAGAGACTAACGATTTTCGATTCAACCGATGGGGAAATGTCTGGAGGATATGTGACAAATGCGCCTTCTTTGAAATACTTACTGTTTCACGGCGTCCAGTCTCGTCAGTGTTGTGTAATTAAGAATGCAGCAGAGTTGGTTGGGGCAATGATTGGTAATGTCTCTAAGATTGTCGACGAGAAGCTTCTGCTATCTCTCACTTCAGTCAAAACTCTTTCCTTAGCTTTGTCACCATTGGAGGTAAATATTTTTGAGTTACTTCTTGTTTGTCTATTGTCATTACAATTTTGTTTTTCTGTACTAATATTGCCTCATGTGTATGTATATGTAGATTACATTTCCTAGTGGTAGTATCTTCTATCAGTTGGTGAATTTGGAGATACATACATATAAAGCTGAGTGGTGGAATCTACTTGTGCTCATGCTTGATGCTTCTCCTAGATTACAAGTCCTCAAGCTCCTCGATGTAAGCATTTTTTCATTTTTGTTTCCAAATGGTTAAAATTTAAAAGGTCTAAATTTGGATGTACATTGTGTGTTTCCCCTCGTTGATGTCTCAGATTTTATGTCGATATTGGGATCTCGGTGTGGCATGTAAGAAATGGAGTCAACCAAACAAGGTTCCTGAGTGTTTGTTGTCCCATCTCGAGACATTCGTGTGGAGAGGCTTCAGACATCCACTAGAAGAGAAGATAGAGGTGGCGAAATACATCCTAAGTAACGCAACTCGTTTGAAGAAGGCGACTTTCTCCGGGAAGCACGTTCAAAGGAGCAGTTCTCAAGAATTGGCGGAGGAATTGGAGAGTGTTGTGAGGGCTTCAAATTCATGCGAGCTTGTGTTTGACTGAAAGGAGGAGAGTCTTTTGGGGACAAGTGAGTGAGTGTGTGTGTGGTTATGGAGTTGGAAAGTGTGATCAGGAGCTGAATCTTTGTTGTCACAAGTAACTTTTAATGTAGTTTTTGAGTTCATGTCTGTTTTGGATGTTGACTTCGATCTAAGTTTGAATGTTTGAGAATTAAAAATGGAAAAGTTAGGGTGATACAAATGCAATCTTGTGCTTTGATACTTTGTTGTATCAATGCCTAACTTCTTTGTGTGTTCTTGGTGGCAGCAGTAGAAAATTGAAACAGTTGCATATAGTGAATTATAAATACTATAAACCAGTGGAGATGATTCAAGTGCGTTGAACAAGAAGCTCCTTTCTTGACATCGACTCCATAGAATAGTTTTATCCATTCCTTTATGTTCACCATAGGTTTTTGTTTCTCTGTCTTTTCGTAACTTTTTTAAAAAGTCTTCTTTCAAATGTTTTGTTCATTGTGTTAAAACTCCATTTAGTGGGAATGCTATGGACTGGAGGAGAAACTCCAAAAGCTGAAGCACTGAAGGAGACAATGAAGGCCTACTTCAACGCTCTTCAAGGATTTTTGCGGGAAACACTGTTGCTGCTAAGCCTACACTTTCTTCATCCATACAAGTCTCTGTGAAGCAAAATGTAAATTCCAGCTTCAAACTCTTGCATGGCTCTGTCTCTCTATACGGTAAACAAGTCTTTCTCTTCTGTCCTTCTGGTTAATTTACTGAAGTTGTGTCAAGGAATGGGAGTAGAGATTAATGAGCTTGGAGCTTGTGTTTATACACTCCGCAGGAGTTGAGTCTCATGAAAGAGACGGTGGAGAGAATAAAAGGGTACGTTGGTGAGATTGAGGATGATATTGTCAAGAGTTTCAAGAATTCTTCTTCTTCATTCGAAGCTTTCTTGGGAACATGCAGAAGGCTAAAGATTTTGATTGAACATATGGTAACAGAGATGGAGACAAGAATCGAAGCTCAAGTAGTATCTAAATTGCAGAATGTTACTCTTTAATTAATTAGCTCTTAGATTATGAGAAATTCATGTGCATGTTATATATATAATTAAGAGGTCTTAGTCGGACCAATAAATGTGCATGGAGTGATGATAGTGTGTCCTTATCATCGGATTCAAATCTTCATAATGCTAAAGAGAAAAACAAGAATCGGCCTCCATTTTTGCTGTCTAAACCTCATGTTTGTATATACTAGTTTCCATCAACATTCAAAAGTGAATTTTTCTGAACGTTTTTAGGTAGCAAATGTGCCAACAATGAAGTAATAAACAATAATCTGGTTTGGACTTGGGCTTTCATTGGATGGGTGCTCAAAGTCGTTTTAGTTTTTTAAAAATGTGCATCGGACTTGGAATTTGTTTTGATCTTTATATACCCCAAGGCCCAAGAGCTAGAGTTTGTGAGCGTTTGGTGACGTCTGTCAAAGAAAATGAAACAATGGTATGTATTAAAATGTCACCCTTTATTTCTTTTGACGAACAGTTCTAGGGTTTTGTGAAGCTCCAAAAACCCATCCTCATTGTTATGTTGTTACTTTTTTTTTTTTTTTTTCAGTTTGAGAAATGAGGACAGGATCAGTATCTTGCCTGAAGCTCTGCAACTGCATATACTGTCTCAGCTTCCGACAAAAGAAGCCGCAGCCACTAGTGCTCTGTCTAAACAATGGAGATCTCTGTGGAAGTTGGTGCCTAAACTCAAATTTGATGATGACATTTACGAATTCAATCAAAGTGAGCACGAGACATTCTCAGAGACTGTCTCCAGGGTTTTGCTGTCCCATCAATCTCCCGTTCTACAGAGCTTGCATATCCATCTCAGAGTAGACAAGTGTCGCGCTGCGGACGTCGGAATGTGGATCGGAATCGCGTACGCACGCCATGTCCGGAAGCTCTCACTCTATTTCGCATCTGAGAGAGGTGTGACGAGCTTCAAATTCCCTCTAGGGATGTTTCACAGCGAAACGCTTGAGACCTTGGAACTCGGCGCTTGGGTCCTCGTATACGTCCCTTATCAGGCTCGTCTCAAGTCTCTCAAAACGCTGCGTTTGAGGAATGTCGAATATGAAGACGATTCGTCCGTTTTAAACCTTTTGTCTGGTTGCCCCAAGCTTGAAAACTTGGTGGTGAATCGAGATGAGGATGGTGTGGAGATCTTCACCGTTGAGGTTCCTTCTTTACAGAGGCTAACGATTTTCGATTCAAACGACGGGGAAATGTCTGGAGGATATGTGATAAAGGCCCCTGCTTTGAAATACTTGGAGATTCGTGGCGTTGAGTCTCGTCAGTGCTGTGTGATTGAGAATGCGCCAGAGTTGGTTGAGGCTAAGATTGTGAATGTCTCTAAGATTGTCGACGAGAAGCTTCTGGTATCTCTCACTTCAGTCAAAACACTTTCCTTGGCTTTGTCACCATTGGAGGTAAAAAAGGTTTGACTTTTGAGTTACTACTTGTTGTCTGTTACAACTATGTACTAATAAATATTGCCTCGTGTATGTATAGATTACATTTCCTACTGGTAGTATCTTCTATCAGTTAGTGAATTTGGAGCTACAAACATGTAAAGCTGAGTGGTGGAATCTACTTGTGCTCATGCTTGATGCTTCTCCTAGATTACAAGTCCTCAAGCTCCTTGATGTAAGCATTTTCAACCAACTTCATCTGTCTGCAATTTTTGTTTCCATGTCTAATTTTAATGTACATTGTTTTCCAATTTAAAAGATTTAATTTGAATGTACATTGTTCATGTCTCAGAATTCTTGTTACAACGATCGGGATCGTAGTGTAGCATGTAAGAAATGGAGTCAACCAAACAAGGTTCCTGAGTGTTTGTTGTCCCATCTCGAGACATTCGTGTGGAGAAGCTACAGAGAACGACTAGAAGAGGAGAAAGTGGTGGCGAAATACATACTAAGTAACGCAGCTCGTTTAAAGAAGGCGAGTTTCTCCGAAATGCCCATTCAGGATAGCAATTCCCAAGAAATGGTGGATGAATTGGAGAGTGTTGTCAGAGCTTCAACTTCATGCGAGCTTGCGTTTGAATGAAACTCATATGGAAGAAGAAGAGTCTTTTGGGGACAAGAGAGTTTGAGTCTGGTTATGTTGTTGGAAAGTGTAGTCAGAGTTTATTCAAATGTGAGGAGCTGAATCTATGTTGTCACAAGTAACTTTTAATGTAGTTTTAGTTCATGTCTGTTTTGGATGTTGAGTTCGATCAATATTTTGACTTGCTTTAAGGTGATACAATTACAATCTTGTGCTTTGATTCCTTGTTGTATCAATGCCTGACTTCTTTGTTATATCAATGCCAAACTTTCAGTAGTAGAAAATTGAAACAGATGCATATAGTGGAATTATAAATACTAAAATAAATCCTACTGAATATTGCAATAAAAATAAATTTCCAAGAGGAGAGATCCAAAAGAAAAGAGCTCTTGCAAGTATCTGAGAAAGTGGAAAGTTTTTGTTCCAACAATGCATTGAATCAGCTCAAGAGTGAACAAGAAGGAATGGATAAAACTATTCTATGGAGTCCATGTCAAGAAAGATGCTTCGTCTTCAACGCACTTGAATCATCATCTCCACAGACCGGATACAAATGGATTCGATCAGACCATGCATTCCTCTCTCTCGAATCGATCTCAGAAATGCATTTCCATACAGCACTATTAGCCTTAAACCCACTTCCAAACCCAATCTGCCATACTCTATCTCCCCTTTTCATTCTAGCTTTCGCCTCCAGATACTGAAGCTCATACCACAGTGAAGACGACGACGTGTTCCCATACCGGTACAGTGTTGTCCTCGAAGCTTCTCCGTCTTCCTTGTCCAGCTTCAGATGCTTCTCCACTCCTTCAATGATCGCTCTTCCTCCAGCGTGTATACAGAAATGCTCAAAAGCTTTCTTGAAGTTTGGCGTGTACACTTCCTTCTTCTGCATTCCCCATTTTCTTTGTATGAATGAGATTACGTACTTGAGCTGCTCTGAGTAAGGCAACACCTTAGGACCTAACTGCACAACGTTGATCTTTAAAGCCTTTGATGCTACCTTCACAAGCTGCTTAGACAAAGCTACTCCCACTAGTCCTTCCTCATCAATCTGCTGCATCACACTCTCGTACGACTCATTGTCTGATCCAACATGAGTTCTGATAAGATGCTGGAGCTTGTACTTGGCTTTACACTTATCTTGCTTCTTGTTGGAGAGAAGAATCGCTGCTCCACCCATTCTAAAGATTGTGTTGGCGATAAGCATTGACTTACACTTCCCTCTGTAACCATTGGGACTCACAGCTTCCATGCTCAAGACTAAAGCCACAGAGTCGTTATGTATCTTCATGAGATCTTTAACTAGGTTTATCGAGAGAAGACCCGCGCTGCAGCCCATCCCGCTCAAGCTGAAGCTCTTTATGTCGCTTCTCATGCCAAACCTGTTTATGATGGTGGAAGTTACGGACGGAGAAGGACAGAACAGGCTGCAGTTAGATACGAGGATGTCGATAGTCCTTGGATCGATCTTGTGCTTTGAGAAAAGGTCTTCAACGATAGTGAAGAGGATGTCTTGCGTTTCTTCTCTACCGGAAGAGAGAGTAGCGTTTGGTGGAATCTCGTGGACTGTCACTGGGACACTCGCGTCGTCTCCGATCCCTGACCGTTCTAAGATCTTTTGCTGGAGGTCGAGGCTTTCTTGGTCGAACACACCGGAGATGGTTAGATGCTCGATGAAATTTGAGACTGGAGCTCGCAGGAAGTCTGGAGGTTGGTAACATGAAAAGTCGATTAGGTATATGCATCTTGGTTTGAAGAAATAGTAACCGAATATGGCTATGACGATGCAGGCTGATGCTGCTACGAAGTAGGGAAAGCTCATAAAGGTTTGCGAGATGAGGAAAGACTGAGTGATGAAAGATTCCATGTTTCAAAATGTTGAAAGAGAAAAGAAAGATGGTGAAAACAGAGGATTCTGTTTTGTGGGGAATGTGGATTATAGTGTTTACCATAAAGGAAGTTTGGAAGCTAAGTTTGTTGCATCACAGGGTAAGCATGTGAAAGGGATCAAAAACAAGGATGAAATTCAGGTCTCGTGACATATATGCGTTTGCATGGTTTCAGGAGAAATGTACATTACGTGTCTGTTGAGAAAACTCTGTCTCTGTTGCTAAAGCTCATTTTAATGTCTATCTTTCTCTCTCTCACCATAAACAAACAAGATTGTTTCTACTTTCAACGTTTCTCAAAGCAGTGCATAAGACGAAGTGAGAGCATTGAATTTGTAATCAGTAGCTAAAGACCAAATTAATGATGAGATTATAAAAGTTAAAATCCAGAAAACGACAAAAAATAAATTTAATTAAGCTCAATAAATGAAATTGAGTGAAGTATAGAGAGAGCTTACTTTTTTTTCTCTTCCAATTTCTTCACTCGTTCTCAAATGGAGACTCCATACCCGAAACTCATAGATCCCTCGAAGACGCGAATCGGATGGATTGGGATCGGAATAATGGGATCGGCGATGGTCTCTCATATCCTCACCGCAGGCTATTCAGTTACAGTTTACGCTCGCGATCTCCGGAAGTCAAAGGATCTGCAAACCAAAGGAGCTCGCACCGCCAATTCTCCGAAGGAGCTAGCGGAGACGAGCGACGTCGTGTTCACGATGGTTGGAAACGCTAACGACGTCCGATCGCTGATTCTCGGTCCCGACGGTGTACTCTCGGGACTCAAACCCGGCGGAGTAACCGTTGACATGACTAGCAGCAAGCCAGCACTGGCGCGTGAGATATACGCGGAGGCGAGACGGAGGGACTGCTGGGCGGTTGACGCGCCGGTATCGGGTGGTGACGCCGGAGCGCGCGAGGCGAGGCTAGCGATATTCGCCGGCGGAGATTCCGAGATCGTTGAGTTGTTGACTCCGATGATGAGTAACATGGGGATCGTGAGGTTTATGGGAGCGGCGGGGAGTGGACAGAGCTGCAAGATCGGGAATCAGATCTGCGCTGGAGGCAATTTGGTTGGGCTCGCGGAAGGGATGGTGTTCGCCGAGAAAGCCGGTTTAGATCCGGTGAAATGGCTTGAGGCGGTGAAGGACGGCGCGGCTGGATCGGCGGTTATGCGGCTGTTTGGGGAGATGATGTTTAAAAGGGATTATAAGGCGACTGGGTTTGCGGAGTATATTGTGAAAGATTTAGGAATGGCGGCGGAGGAGGAGGCGGTTACGGCGATGCCTGGAGCTGCTTTGAGCAAGCAATTGTTCTCTGGAATGGTTGCAAATGGAGATGGGAAGTTAGGGATTCAAGGCGTCGTCTCTGTTATTCGGAGACTTAACGGCATTTCATGAGAACAGTGTGTATGGTTTCGTTTTACAATTAGGCAAACTTGTCTTCGTTTTGGTGTGTAGTTTTGATTTGCATTTGAGTAAAGATTACAACCTTCTATATAACTAAATCTAATAGCCAGTGATCTTAAAACACTATGAAAAGTGAAAGATGGATCTTACATTATACGAGAGTCCACCATTTCACCAACATATACACACACTACCGAGTCTCTTCGACTGCTACGCCGGAGTAGTTACACTCGTAGATCTCTTCATCGGAGCCTTTCCCTCGACTCCTTTTCCATGATATCTTCCATGACGTATACAAGCTAATCCTGTGTTTATCCAAAAAATGGCGTAAAGCATGAGAGTCTTTCACTTGTGGACATTTCATTTGTATATTAGAGAATGTACCTCTCAGTTTGAACGGTTCTCTTTGCAAGCATGAGGGTAAGGAAGACAGGGACCATAGCAGCACACAAATGCTTTATCGAGTGTCCACTGAGGATATGATGCGTCCAGTTGTATATGGGTTTATCTGCAGCTTCTTCCACCTTGGCTAAGAGGTAGAAACCTGCGATTTGGGACCAATTGAATCTAGAATAAGAACAGTTTCAGGTGCACAAAAGCAAACCGAAGATATTCACCAACCTGCAGCCCAAAGCCAATATGAGGAATGTGTGTACTGTGGAGGTAAGAGAATAGCCATGAGTGGAATGACAATGCAAGGAACAAACTGTACTACAGCGTATGGACGAAGATCATCGAAAAACCTGCAATTTCACAGCACTCGTTAGAGAAATTGTGTTCTTGAATTGTATCATTAGACAAGTTTTAGATTGACACTTGCCTCCAATAGAGAATGCTGATAAGGCCAGCGAGAAGCAAAGGGACAATGGAGTAAGTGCCCTTGTGCTCATCAATCCTCTCGATTACGAATATAGCCACGATTGATGTGAAGGCAATAGTCATCTAAATCGAAAAAACATCCAATTCAAAATCAGTGTTCATAACGAAGACGAAAGCGAGAGAGTAAAGAGAACAGAGAGCGTACGGGAAGACGATCCCAGACGAGAGTTGCGTCGTCTGGGTGGAGATGATAGTAAGAAGATCCGAAAGCAACAGCCGTCACGCCGACGTAAAAGCAAGTCCATCCTAATTTCTCACCTCGCAAACTGTTTCCATCATACACACAGATTTTAACTAATTTGAAATTTGATTTCTCACTTGAATTGATAAAGAGAGATGTAGAAGTGGATTTATGTTTACGCGCCTGAAACTGAAGTAATCGTCTGGGTAAAAGCAGAGGACGAGACCGATGAGGCCGATGATGAGGAAAGGGAAGTTGGAGATGACGTTCAAGGCATTTGGGATTCCTGAGATAGAAGATCTCGTGGGTTATAATAACTAAAATCAAAGGGATTAAGAAGATGATTGAAGTGTGAGAGGAAGAGGAAGAGATTACCGAAGAAGGTTCGTTGATCGGCGAAATCGTGGTAAGCCTGAGATTGAGGGATGGTGGGAGTGACGATCATCAGAACCAGGAAGATTACAATCGCCGCTCCCCATGAGAAAACCGTACGCTGCTTCATCGTTTTCTTCTTCTTCTGCTTCTGAGAGAGAGATTCAGATGTTGGTTGACTCTTCTTTTTTTTTCGTTTTTCTTCCCTTTTTTCAGTAATTTTGGGGCCAATTCTTAAAGGAACTTAAAAAGGCGTTGAAATTGCGATTGCGATTGCAAAATTCAGCGCCAAGGGCAAATTTGTAAATTTAAACTCTTAAGGCGTGAGGACGCATGGACTGTTATTAGTTACTAATCACTGTTAATACAAGAGTTAATATCATGTGTAAAATTCAAGTTTGAATCTCATATAAATCATATCTTGATATATAAGTATGAACTTTTTTTTAGCTTTAGAACAATCCATTAACCAACATTTCACACAATTTTTTTATTTAACTTTTCCTTTAATTCCCATTTTATACATGGGTGATGGCCTGATGGGTCCATGTTAGTGTGCTCAGCCAACTGGTCACCGTAAATGTTACATACATACATTACACATTACAAATCATGTAGGAATTACAATGTCCTGTCCACTGAATAACTGACTCCAAAGGTCAACGAAGTTTGATTCATTGATGTATGTAACATATCAACATATTGTAAGATAAAGGAATGTATGCTACATGTTAACTTATATAAAGAAGGACCGTGTGTGGGCTACAAATGTTGAAAAATTAACAAAACATGCAAATAATAAGCTAGAAGAGGAATATACCAAAATTGCTATGTGCGTCATTAACATTCTTCATCTCACTTAACAAATCTTTTGTTGTCGGTGTTCGTCACGAGAGCGAAGAAATGATGTTTTTCTTCAACATTGTGATGTAGTCATCACCTCCACTTGGCCTTTCATCCATCTACACATTTACACACATCTCTCAGTTGTTAATCCTACTCCGAAAAAATGCTAGAAAGTATACATAAACTGGCTAACGCCACAATGAGTAATAATGGCTTAAAAACTGCATCTCTTCCAAAATGAGTTTCCTTGTTTCCTTTACAATGTGATACTTAAGGTCAAAATGTTATTAACTAAGCCCACTCAACATCTTAATGTCGAACGATAAAATGACTCAAGCTAGTATATAGGAAACATATATTAGTGTGCCAAATTAACCATTTTCAAAAGAATCTCACGTTCCCTTCTTATGGTGTCATCATCATCTATTAGTTAATCCCACGTCGAATATGTAAAAAGAACCTAACTGAAAAACTCGGGTCGTTAACTCAACTAGTGTACTAATTGACCATAATTCGAGTATCAACAACATTAAAGGAATTAATTGATCTCCCGCTCTAATGAGATAAATGAACCTTAACTTCCTGGTTACCCAATAAAGGAAGAGAGACAATCTAGTTATGTATGTTTTCTCTGATGAAAATGTATCTACATTTGCTTATTGCACTCAACAAGACAAAAATTATATTGCGATCCTAAAAAGTAAAAACACCTACTCATTTAAGATCAAGTAGAAAAGCAAGAAGAGTAAAGATAATAGGAGACACACCTTCACATGGAAGTGGTAAGAAACCACCTTTTGATCTCTACAAACTTGAGTTGTAGAAGCATTTAAGATACTAAAACCTTGCACCTCCATTACATGAAGCAAGTTTGAGAACTCCTCTGCCTTTTCCTTCTTCGTGCATATTTGTACAACAGCCTCATTACCTGATCCTTCCAATTCATGAACCGAGATTGTTCTAATTGAAGGACTTCGTTGCTCTAGCTCTCGGGACTTCTTGCTCTCCATTGCATCCACAAGCTCTTGCTTTCTGAGAGTTAGCTCTACAACTTCATTTTGTAGATTGGGAATGTAAGTGACCACTCTATCGATTATAGACGGTGCACACCATTTCTTCTGTTAATTCATTACAAAAAGAAAATTAGCTCAACAACCATAGAAACTAATTTAAAAGTTCCAACCATAAATCATCAAAATAAACCTTTGAAGAAGAAGAATGATCAGGAAGAAGAGTGCCAAGAGTGAGGTAAGAGGCATGAAGTCTCATCCTTCTTAAACGCTCCTTAGCGTTATGGTCTTGTTTCTTTGAACCACTTGAGCCATGATCCTGATCATCCTTAAGGTCATGCTCATACAATACTGCTCTCTTCCCTTTTCTCTGTGTTTGACACGTGTCCTCGGGCTCCTTCGCAGTGATTGTTTCTGCAGGGATATGCAAGCGATCATGGAGTAAACTTGATGTTGAAGTCTGATGGTTCGGTTGGGAAGACATATACGATGGCAAGAAAGAACAATACGAGAATATATATAACAATGACTTATGAGGCTTTGCTCTCTTCGCTTACACCGCTCTGGTCCTGTTTAAACTTAAATTCCAATTAATGATATAAACCCTAATTAAGTTAACAAGATGATCATGACGATGTTATATGTGAATGTATGTAGGCATATATATATAGAGGAAGGAGTCTAAAGTCAACCCCAAACGCAGTATTTGTGAAAATAAAAAACAATGCAATGAAGCGGCACAAACTTTAGTTTAAAATATTAAAATGATCCAAAATAAACTAAATAAGAAAAGATATATAGGATCAGGGAATCAAAAGAGAAAAAGTAGTATTATATTAGCGACTCTGTAGTACAGAAGAGAGGAATTAGGAGATGGTAAACCCATAGGAGAGAAGCAGAAGAAGAAGAATCGTGAGGCAGGATTAAAGTTCTTACCTGATTCACCATCTCCGATGTTCTTCTTCTTTGTACGAACTCGGAGGCTGTCTCATAGACAAAGTCGCATTTTTTGTCTAGTTTAGTCCTCTGATCTGGTGCATGTACGCTGGTCTTTTATGCAGTACAAATGTCGTTAAACTGTTAGTACACAGTACACAGACACATTTTTCTTTTCCTTTTTTTTTTTTTTTTTTTTTTTTTTAATAAAAAACTGCATAAATCCTCGTTATATTTGGTGTTTTAAGTTTTAACTTTTAAATCCAAAAGTTTTATATTTTTCATTTCCTTTTACGTTGGTGGTGTAAGTTTTTTTTTTGTTGAGTTAAAAAGGATACCCTAATAATACTATTTCAGAGCTTTTCTCAAATTTTCTTTGAAAATTATAAAGCACAGATTAAGAGAAATACTCCATTGCGTTTACAAATTTAAAGATACTGTATGTTTATAAGAAAATGAAGTATTTGTCATTTGAAAATGTAAACAAAATATACAAAACACAAATATTCGAAACCAAGTCGACAAAGGGGGGAAATAAAGGGTGAAAACCATTTTTTCTTTTTTTGGTCAACGAAAACTTGCATTAAATCAAGAGAGGTTTATCTCCAAGGGGTGAAAACCATTAAATTTCCTTGATAAACAATAAAAGATTATGACAAAACTGTTGAAATCTCTATCTGAGTTGTGTTTCTATGAAAAGATTACAAACAATCGTATGTAACGGAGATTTTAAGCTAATACCAACCCAATTCCGTTGGCGTGTCCTTCAACGACACTAACAAAAGCTTCTCCCAAAAGACGATCCATCTTTTGCAATCCGGAGAGCAAAAGAAAATTGTGGCTTTTTCAATACCCAAAAGAAGAAATTAAATCCAAATGAAGTGAGAGACTCTTCCCTTATTCCTCTATTCAACAATTCCAACCTCTCCGTGACATACTTTTTCAATACTCAAGCTGCCTCCCTCTGCTACTCCAACCATTCGACCGAGAATTCGTTCTTTCAAGTATGCGTCGAGCTCGATCAAGTATCATATGAGTCCACTCATTAGGCTTATACCCTCTTCTCGCTATTCTTTCAGCCAACTCAAACGCATCTTCCGCCTGATTCATCACAACTCTCTTCAACAGCATATTGTAAGTGTACATATCCAAAGGATAGCATTTCTCTATCACTTCATCTAACCGCTTCAGTTCCCCTTCCATATCGATTCGTCCCGAGAACACTCCTATCAACTCGCCAAGAGACTTCATCTCTGGGATCTTCTCTTCAACATCTCTCATCCTTGTCCACGCTTCATACAACTTTTTGCTCTTTATCGCATTATACAAGAGAACATTACCAATAAAGGATGTAATACGACGCCCGCTTTTCCTAAACTCGTTCACTAATCCAACAGCCTCCTCGTACCTCTCTTCGTTGCAGAGCTTTTGAATCAGTAACTCGTAACATTCAATACTAGGATGTCTTCCAGTGCCTTTCATTTCTTCCAGGAATTGCATAGCGTCGTCTACTCTGTTTGCTCTACAGAGACCAACAATCATGGCTTGGTAAAGTACTCTTTTGGTCTCACCTTTCTCACGCAGGTCATTAAAAAAATGTAGAGCATCGGCGATTCTCCCGTTTTTCACATAGCTCTGTAGCATGAGAACGTTTGAGTTTAGCGTCGGCCTGATCCCATCTCTATCCATCATGTTATAGACTAATCTCGCGAGTTTTGGCTTTCCTGCAAACCCAGCTCCTTCGATGAATAAGTTGTACGCTCCGACTTTGTTTTCCCAGAGAGACAGCTGAAACTTTAGCAGAGTAGTGAAATAGTTTTCGTTACTGCTTTCCATCGCACACACAGATCGAATCACGTCTCGGTAGTGGTTATGGACAGGTGTGTAGCCTTTTTCCTGCATTCTCATGATGAGTTTCGCAGCTTTGTCTCCTCTCTTTATTCTGATTGCGCCGTATATCAAGCTGACGAACGCTGAGAACGTGGTGGCTACACCACTCTTATCGAACAGCTCATTGATCAACAGAGCGTCCTCTACTTTCCCAACATTGCAAAGAGCTGATATAATCTTGCAACTGCCTAAACGTTTTGGCAACAAGCCTTGCTCCACGGCAACAATAACCAGCTCCTTAGCCATGTCAGCTTTCCCTTTCCAGCACAAAGCATTGGTAAGTTTAGAGAAAGTCTTTGCACCAAGATAATGCCTCCGGTCCATCGCTCCCTTCAGGACATCAAAAGCTTGTTGGACGTTTCCGTCGGTGCAAAGGCTATGAATCAGATAGTGGTAAGACATGGCGGTAGGAGTAAACCCAATTTCTGACCTCGACCTGTATATCTCTAAGGCTTCATCTACATAACCGGCTTTGCAAAGGAAGCATAAGGCTGCATTCATGGTTTTCTTAATAGGAGATACTCCCCGTACCATCATCTCCGTGAGGATATCATACACACTCTCAGCATTGTTCTCTCTCAAAAGCTTAAAGATCAAAGAGTTGTACCTAACAACTTCGACTTCACAACCTTCCAAAGGACTAATCTTCTCCAAGAAATCAGCAGTGTTGTTCAACAATCCAGCTTCAATGAGAGCTTTAATCCACATGTTGTAAGCACGGTCCATGGAAACTGTTCCCACCACTTTGATCTCGTCTAGCAATTTAGTAGCTTCCCTAAACTTTTCTTTGGAACATAGAGCATCGATCAAAATGCCTAACCCAGAACCGCATCCATCAGGATCATCGGGGAGCAAGGAGCGGAGATAAGCCTCAGCGTTATCAAGCTGGCCTTGCTTGCACAACTTCTTCACCATAATAGAATGCGTCACCGCGCAGAGGAAGCCACGAGCGGAGATCTGGTCGAAGATAACGTCGCCAGTATCAAAGCATTTCTCCTCCACAAGTGCATTGAGGAGGACGTGATAGCCAAACGAATCCAAATCCAAACCTCGAAATCTCATATGACCAAAGTGCTGGAGAGCGATGTCAGTGCGCCCAGCGACAGCGTAGCCAATGACGAGAGCGTCGCAGAGACGGAGAGAGTGGCGGTAGCCTTCGAAACCGTCGCTCCGGTCTAAGAAATCTGTCATGATACTCACATGCTTGGCGCTGCGAAGGATTTTGAAGATGGCATGGAAAGTGGCGCGAGTGTGATGGAATCCAGGCTGACGAGCGGCCCAATCGAAGAACTTGAGGCACGAGAAGATATCGCTGCGGAGGTGATTAAGCACGTCGAGGACGAATCTCTCAGTGAGCCGGAGGCGGAGACCGGAGAGGTGGAGATAAAAAGCTCGATCATCTCCTTCGTTTGAGGGAGCTCGGAGAATATGAGAGATCTGCTCGATTAACTGGTGGCTCTGCCCATCGCGCTTAAACCAGTCTTTAAACTCGCGGACGAGGACATCTCCGGCGGCGATTGGAGCCTTCGCGATTGAAGAGAAATGAGGTGGAGAGGAGAAAGCATCGCCGGTACCGGAATTGCAGTTTCTGAGAGACGCCGAGAGCGATAGTATCCTCCGCCTGAGGAGCATCCCTTTCTAATCGCATGATCTCGGCGGAGACGTCACCTAAGCCCCAAAACTCTTTGTTCGATCGGATTGAAAAACCCTAACTATTTACAACCAATCAGAGACCTCCACGTCACACTCAATGTCGTGGCTTTCGCTCGTTTTTACGGAAATGTCCCTTTTAGTTACTACGTGTATTTCCCGGGTCGTCTTCTTCCTTCTCCGTCGCGGAAATGGGGACCAATCTGAGATCCGGGCTCTGTTTCATCCTTCTCCTCTTCGTCGTCTTCGGCGTCAACGCTCAGAATCGGAGACCGAAAAATGTTCAGGTGGCGGTTAAGGCTAAGTGGCAGGGGACTCCTCTTCTCCTCGAGGCTGGGTAATGCTTGTTTTACACATTTCTTCCACCATTGTTACTGCTCTTGCGCTTCGTCAGTGGATCAGTGAGTTTTTATTTTTGTTGTGATAGAGAGCTGATTTCCAAAGAATCGAAGCAGCTGTTCTGGGAGTTCACCGATGCTTGGATTGGTTCCGATGGAGAAACTGGTGATTCCGATTGTAAATCCGCCAGAGATTGCCTCCTTAAGATATCTAAACAGGCATCGACCTTATTGGCTAAACCCGTGGCTTCTCTCTTCCATTTCTCACTTACGCTGAGATCTGCCTCGCCGAGGCTTGTGCTCTACCGTCAATTGGCTGATGAGTCTCTTTCTTCTTTCCCTCACGGCGATGATTCCTCTGCAGCTCACTGCTGTTGGGTCGACACTGGCTCTTCCCTCTTTTACGACGTTGCGGATCTCCTCTCCTGGCTCGCATCCCCTCCTGCGTATGCACTCACGATCTCTCTTCTTTAGTTTCATTTTGGTTACTTAAGACTGCAATTCGCTCTTTCTAAGCTGCATTTCATTGGATGCCAGTGGTGGAGACGCGGTTCAGGGGCCTGAGCTCTTCGACTTTGATCACGTTCATTTTGATTCAAAAGCTGGAAGCCCTGTTGCCGTTCTCTATGGAGCTGTTGGGACTGGTTGCTTTAGGAAATTTCACCTCTCGCTTGCTAAAGCAGCCAAAGAGGTCTCTCTTTTCTCCTATGCAACTTATCCTTCATTGTTGAAAAACGTATTCTGTTATTGGGGTAGAATAGGAAGGCTTTACCTCAACCATGAAGCTTGATTTTGAGAAGTAATGTCATGTGGGGGTTCAGTTGTTTCATGTCTTGATAGAAAAACTTCAGGCTCAGTTGTCTAGGAAGTCCTTTTCGTAGCTTCTTTGTGGTATAGTTGTGTGCATTCTAATGAAGCCTTGGATTCCTACAGGGAAAAGTTACATACGTTGTTAGACCAGTATTACCTTCGGGTTGTGAAGGCAAAACTAGACCCTGTGGTGCCATTGGGGCAAAGGATAGTGTTAGCTTAGCTGGTTATGGTGTGGAGCTTGCTTTGAAGAATATGGAGTACAAGGCAATGGATGATAGTGCTATAAAGAAAGGTTAGAGCTAGCTCGTTTATTCAGTTTTCGCCACCTGAATTTTGAAAACGAAAGCTTATTTCTATCAGTTGCTTATTCCTTATCTTCTTTCTGTTATCTGTGATTTTGCTACCGTCGTAACTGTTTTTGTTAAGAGTTTCAGGTATAACTCTTGAAGATCCAAGGACTGAAGATCTTAGTCAAGATGTTAGGGGATTTATATTCTCAAAAATCCTGGTATGTTTAATCTGCGATATAACTAGAATAATATGTGGAACCATTTCTTTCAAAAAATTAGTTCGTTTGATTTGCACGGATGCATAGATGCTCGCACAAGTGAATTTGTGTTTGTTAATGGGTGTGAGATGGACAAAAATAAAGAGAGAAAAGTTTTGTAGTGATTTTTCATTTTCTCTAGGGTGATCATTAGAGCCAGTTCTTCTTTTTTGCAGGACAGGAAACCCGAGCTAAGATCAGAAGTCATGGCTTTTAGGGATTATCTCCTATCATCAACTGTATCAGACACACTGGATGTTTGGGAGCTCACGGGTAGTTATCCTGCATGTGTGGCTTGGTGATAACAGAAGTTAAATAAATCCTAATTTACCCTTTATTCCGCAGATTTAGGACACCAAACAGCCCAGAGAATAGTCCATGCCTCTGATCCTTTGCAATCTATGCAAGAAATTAACCAGAACTTTCCAAGTGTAGTTTCTTCATTATCCCGCATGAAGGTATGTCATCGTTTCTTGTTCCTTAAACTGCTAATTGAATTGTTTTCTTGTGGTCCTTCTGATTTTAGATCTGTCTGGTTCAATCTTGCAGGTTAATGAATCCATCAAAGATGAAATACTTTCAAACCAGAGAATGCTTCCCCCTGGCAAGGCTTTGTTAGCTCTGAATGGTGCCTTGTTGAACATCGAAGATATGGACCTATACATGTAATACCTTTTAGCACATTGTTTTGCCATGACCGTGGCATATTTTAGTGCATTAGTAATTTAGAATCCGTGGTCATTTTTTTGATGTGGGGATGTTATTATGGTTTGGGGAGCTGAAATTCTGATATTTTTTCCTCACTCGATACTCTTCCCCAAACCCACTTTTGCTTGAGTATGGCCAGACCTAGTTTCCCGTCTTTCAGTTCACTTACATTTTGATATCATTTTGCATTGCATCGCTTTTCATGTGGATTTCCATTTACTCCTTTTAAGAGCTAATATGTCTTCATTGTTGGATATAGTCTGTTTCCCATGATCGTCTGATCCTTCTGTCTGTAGGTTGATGGATTTGGCTCATCAGGAGTTGTCCCTGGCCAACCAATTTACCAAGCTTAAGGTACTTTTTTACTGACTGTGTACGCCTAACCATTTAGGCTAGTGCCGTAACAAACATTTTGTAATAACGCAGAAAGAAAAAGTAAAGTTGTGGTTTATACATCATGGTGGAAAACTGGAATTATACAGATGGATGAATAATTTTCGTCTATTCAGGACACTGAGCTCTGATTACTCTTGAACATATGGATGTGCTAACGTTTTTGTGCAACTACCAGATACCTGATGGAGCCATACGGAAGCTTCTACTAACTACCCCTCTCCCTGAGCCGGATTCATATCGGGTTGATTTCCGTTCCGTACATGTGAACTATATCAACAATCTGGAAGAAGATGATATGTACAAGCGCTGGCGAAGTAATCTTAACGAGGTAACTAGTGCAACTGACATTCTTCTTGATAATTGAGGATACATAATGATTATTTTTTTTGTGACCAAGGTGCCATTTGGGAAATAATATCTCTAATTGCCTGTGTTTCTCTCACCTTGTAATAAGATTTTGATGCCTGCCTTCCCTGGGCAACTACGTTACATCCGAAAGAACCTCTTCCATGCAGTTTACGTCATTGATCCAGCCACTGTCTGCGGTCTTGAGGCAAGTCTCATATCTGTCCTTTCACGGCACTGACTTATAAGTACAGAGCTTTTTGAACTGACTGTTGCTGTATCTTTCCAGTCCATTGACACTCTCAGATCCTTATATGAAAATCAACTCCCTGTAAGATTTGGGGTGATATTATATTCCACTCAATTAATTAAGACAATCGAGGACAATGGTGGTCAAATCCCATCTTCAGATTCCCAAGTTAAAGAGGACATATCCACTGTGGTATTCACCTTTCTTTAGAAGATACTTTTCCTTTTATCATTTCCCAACCTTATTTTTTTTTCTGCACTAAGAAGCTTGTTCTTATTATGTTCTTTTTAATCATTTTGCTTGGGGATGAAACTAAGAATGCTCTTTTTTTTTTCCTGATGGAAAAAACCCCTTTTGCAGATCATACGTCTTTTTCTGTACATCAAGGAGCACCATGGGATTCAAACAGCTTTTCAGTTTTTGGGAAATGTAATGGATATTAACTCATAGCTAGAAGCGTCTTGACTGCTTCGCGTTGGTTATTTGTCATTTTCTGTTTTAAATTAATCCGAAACATTAGTTGCTGAATATCTTCAGGTTGGTTAACAGGTAAACAGATTAAGGACTGAATCTACTGATTCTTCCGAAGAGGACATGGAACAGCAGCATGTCGATGGAGCATTTGTTGAGACAATTTTGTAAGGACCATGGATATTTAGAATCATTTTCATACAATCGCAGATCTATTTTATGTTCTATCTTCACAGAAAATTCGGATTGTATTCCCTAAAGTTGGGACTTTTCTATTCCAGACCAAAGGTTAAGTCACCCCCTCAGGAGTTATTGCTAAAACTGCAACAAGAGGACACTTTGAAGGAGGCATCTGAAGCAAGCTCCATGTCCGTATATAAGCTGGGTTTGGCGAAACTAAAGTGTTCCTTTTTGATGAATGGCCTCGTGTTTGATTCTGTTGAGGTACGTTTTGTGCATTTTTATAATTGTTGTGGTTCTCATACTTTGGTAGCTTATTGCAAGCATTTGTCTTCATAATAATTGTACATGCAAACCATTTTGCTACTTTAATCTGCATCTACTTCACGTCTGCATGCTAAAAGCTTTTAAATATTTGTTACTGTGATTCTGAAGTTTATTGAAAATTGGTTCATGATGCAAGCTCTTGTCTCTCCAGGAAGAAACTCTTTTAAATGCCATGAATGATGAGCTTCCCAAGATACAAGAACACGTTTACTACGGCCAAATAGAATCCCGTACTAATGTGTTGGACAAAATACTTTCGGAAAGTGGTCTTAGCCGGTATAATCCACAGGTAGGGAGTTTCACAGGCAGCATCTTTTGTAAATTCGTTTACGTGTTTTTTCAGTACTAATTCCAAGAAGAATATGCCTTCGCGTAATTGCATCGTTTGTAGATTATTGGTGGAGGAAAGAACAAGCCAAGGTATGTGTCGCTGGCTTCATCTGCCAAGAGTGGGGAATCTCTGCTGGATGATGTGAACTATTTGCATTCTCCTGAGAGTAAGTAACCGTGCATATGTATCGTTGCATCTATATCGTTAACAGCTTCTTGTCCATATCCCAAATATGTGATCTTCTCATGCAAACTCACTTGATATGTATTTTCTTGT